CCAATTGATGCACTATTGTCAGTTGGCCAAGGTAATCTCCTATTACCTCATTTTTGCACGCGCCATATAAAAAAACAGTGCTGAAAAAAATCTCCGTGAAAGAAATGTTAACAAATTTTAAGAAAAAGACTTGCTGTACTGCCATCTGCTGGGCGCCATGCGATGATACCCACTTTACTCTTGATGAATAGCAATACAATAATGTCATTTATTTCTGTTTGAGCGTCCTTTACGCCAGCGCGCCTCAGAGCGCTTTACAAGCGATACAATGCAATTGGTTAAAACACGTAAATGGGCTTCATTTCGTGAACCCAGATTCTTCATAGTTCATAGTTCCATTTATTTGGCATAGCCCTGTGAGCCATTCGGCTCTTGAATCGGGTGCAACCGCAACAAACAAAAACACGAACAAGAAAACATCTTAAAGTGACTATGTGACTGTGCAAACAGAAAATCCAGGAAAAAAACATCAAAATATTCCTGAGATAGCACCGTACACCAACGCTGTGTGCAAAAATCCCAGTGGGATGCAAGTCAAACAACAAAAACAACCACAAGACAGCTAAGATTAAGGCCATCAGTCTAACTCCGTACTGTGGAGCAAACCAACTTTCCACACAGCAGCAGCAAAGCCATGCATGGATCATGGCTTGAGATGTTGCTCTGGAGGCCCGGGGGGACGTCGATCGATGTTCAGTCGCCGGGTCGACGCTGACAATATTCGTGATTTCTCACGTTGAGTGGGCCACATGAAGGCTGCCATCATCCACTCCGTTCATATTCGGAATAGAAACATAGAAGACTGACATCAATTCAGCGTATCCCTTGTCAAACAAGTGTAGCTTATTTGCTCGTTTATTTTGGCATCCCTGATGTAGCGGTCGAAATGGCACACTCCTGTGGCGAGGGAGGATGAACGCCGCCTTCACAATAAATGCATTCCGATTAATTCGTAAAACCTCTCAGAAAGAGCATGCATTGAACACGGAAACCCTGGAAAGAACAAACACAGATGGACAATCAAGAGTTACGAGTCAGGGTAAATAATGAAAACTGCAATATTTTGGACATGTGGCCAGGATTAATGGTGACTGGCCGCAAAGCATTTGGTGATGAAGGGATAACTGGGATGTGCTCGGGAGAAAAGGAGGGCCACAATCAGACCGGGCATCAATATCAAAGACATTGGACGTGGATGGAAACGTTCTCAGCTGGAAGACAGTGATAAGCAAGAGGACTCAGTATGTGGAAAGATGGGGCAAGATCTCTGAAGGAAACGGACATGTCCCAACGGCCAGAAAGGGCCCAGTCTCTTCGTAGGACAACCATTGTTGACGAAAAAGCCAGCGACGAATGTGTGTGTGTGGGGGGGGGGGATGTTGACGATGATGGGTGCAGAGTACATGGTAATGGGGCTCCAAAAGGCCGTGCTTGATTCCCACTGGAATGTGACCCCCACCCCCTCCCCCCCATATTTCAGACACAAGTGCTTGTTTTCAAAAACAACGGCCCCGATGCAGCTGCTTTGACTCTTTTATTATCATTTTTGAAACTCCAAAGGGGTGTTCGCGAGGTTTTATTTTTTTCTTCCAGTGCCGCCACCCCGTTTCTCAAAGTGGCCGGCTCGCTTGTTAGCCCGCCGCGGTTTGCGCGCGTGCCAAAAAAAAAAATGAATACATCGGCACGTGCGGTTGCATCTTTTGCAGATATAGGACGTGTTCGTGTTCGTGTGATGAAAGCTTCCTACGAAGAGAATCTTCCCATCTATTTACAGGAGGAAAAATATGATGAAAAAATACGATTTGTTTTTTTTTTTCAACCTTTTTAGGATTTTTTTCCTTTATATAATCAGAATGTGCCTTGGGTCTTGCGAAAACATGTAAAATGTTTTTTTTTTATATAATCAGCTGTATTTATTGCGTTATCTGTACAATACACACGCTATAACACTGCTATTAACTTTCGATTTAAAGCTTTCGTGACTGCAGGGATTCATATTCTTGGTTCTTTCGGTAAAGTCACGTAGAAGGAAAATAATAAAATAATACAAATACAACTATAAAATTCTCACGACTTTTTGACAGCGTCTTTCCGACAGCTCTGTTCTTCACCTGAGGACGGCTGCTTGCGTTGTAGCTGAAACGTCGTGAGAAATGTATTTTGTTTTATTTTTATTATTTGATTATTTCCCTTCTACGTAACTTTACCGAAAGAACCAAGAATACTGCCATTAACGTGCAATATTCATAATACTTTGTAGACAAAAAAAGTTTTGAGTTTTACAAATGCATCGTTTAAAACCACTGGGAGTGGCTTACCCAAAACTAGGCAATTACGGGAAAACTGGACAGTGGCGAAACTGTGTAAAATATAGCAGTTATTCCATATTAGTTTGATGGAAATAATTATAGACATAGGAAACAAGATGAAACAATAGTTCGATAAGGTTTAAAGGGTAAACCTTTTTAATGTAGTTTAACACGTAGGCTTTCGCGACCAATATTATTCATAATAAAGGTTTTTGGGTTAGATCGCGTTATTTACGACACATTTATAAAGAACGCGATCTAACCCAAAAACCTTTATTATTTTGAATGTAGCACCCCCTACTGATAAACCTGGAGTCCTGTCCAATTCAACACGAGTGGTTGGGAAGGAACTTCTCAAACACAAGATTGCTCAACCTTCGATTCAATAAGGGGACAATGCATCATTAATAGCGCCTGGTTGTGATTTTAATTGTCGAGCACGAGACATTTCCTCCGACAAAACAGAGCGTTAAAGACTTATAAAAAAATATAAAACATTCGTCAATAACACCATGGCCTTAAGATAAACTATATAAATCGTCGACGACATTTAGTGCAATAGCCCTTCTTCAGAGCACATAAAGTGAGTCTGGAAAGAAAGACCAAAAAGACCAGTTTGTTTTTTATCAGCACTGTTGGCTACGTACGCTGAGAAAGAACTTCAACATGCATACACAATAATAGCTATAGAGTACCAAGCAAACCCTTCAATTATAATGAAAACGTTTCTACGAGATAAACTCATTCATATTAAAAGTTAAATGATTGAGAATCGGCTGAATCATACGTGGCTGCCCAGACCCAAGCCAGGCATCCCACGTGATGCGCTTTCAGAGCTCTCCCCAACGCCACTCGGTCACCTGGGTAATATTTTTTAAAGACAACTTCCGTGAAGATGTGTTTGTTTGTATTATTATCTTCCATAGGTGTAATCACAAGCAGCGATCTTCTTCTTCTTGTCGTAAGGCTGCTGATGTAGATGCAGAGAAACAAACTACAATTTCACATTCAGCGGAGTGCAATCGCAGCGACGTCTCCTTCATATTTGCGGATCGGGCATTGCGAACGTGACACGTTGTATATTGTATATTGTCTGTTTATATGGATTACCACAAGCAGCGGTCACAATAAGTCAACATAGGGCTAAATTAAGTGTTTGTAAGGTAAGACATTTACTCGAAACATGCATTATCGTGCATTGGCTAAATTTTCAACGCTCGGTTTAATAATTCTGCAAAAACCTGGTTGGGCCATATTCTTGGTTCTTTCGGTAAAGTCACGTAAGCACCAAGAATATGAATCCCAGCAGTCACGAAAGCTTTAAATCGAAATCTGGTTGGGCCAGTTGGACAGGTGGCCTGTGACGTTATCTCAATCCCAAATCACAATACGTAGAAAAGAGAGCAGATTTGAGTCAGGTCTAAACCGAGAAGGATGCCTAATGAATATAACCATAACAAAACAATATAGTTTGAGAGCGAAAGCACACACTAACTTGTATATCACAACACATTCCGATGGGAAACACGCAAGACATTGCAGTAAATTGTGAAGTAGTGCGATGATCATGTTTTGAACATTTAATTCAAACGAATATACACGCATGAATAATATACACGCTTCTCAATCCGCTTGTCCTGGTGAGAGTCGTGGCGACAGTGTGTTGAGTCGGGCAGTCCAGACCTCCCGTTCCCTGGCGACAGACTCGATATCTTCCTGGGGGAATTCCCAGGCCGTTCCCAGGCCCCGCCAGCGTGCCCTGGGCAAGCCCTGGGGTCTTATTATTATTCTTCTTCTTGGTTCTTTCGGTAAAGTCACGTTGAAGGGAAACAATAAAATATATAAAACAATAAAATTCTACGTAGTTTTACATGTACCTGACAAAGCCAGTACAGATGTATTACAAAACTATTTCGAAATGATACAATAATTTATGTAGAATACCCTAGTACAGATTTAGCATAAAACAGCCTGTGTCAGTATGATATAATGGATAGTCGACGCAGCCCATCATGTGGGGTTGAGTACCACCAATGTCAGATGTATTTTCCAATTAACTCGTACCATAGGAATGTGAAATTTCACATTCCAATGATTTTGGGTCACCAGTGATTAACACCGTGCATGAGGCTTGCATGAAAGGAAGGAATATTTCCATTATAAAGAAAAAATAATGACTATTTATAGATTTAAATCAAAATTTATAGATGCCCATTTTATTTCTAAAAAATCCATATGCATGTCATGAGACGATTCATCCTTTCATAAATCGTACAAATCAGTGCAATCCTTTGTTGGCAAACCGCTAGTGAAAATATTTTTTCACAGGACGAAACAAACCTGTCAGTACCCTTTTTATACTCCACATGGCAGGGGTAACACTGTCCCTCCCACACCCTGCCGAGACTGCTAGATTTATGTGTTTTTATTGAGTTGAAATTCAGCCAATTAAGTGGAAAACCAAATGTCATGTATTTTATGCAGTCGTGTATAAATGGGATAAGACGATCAATTTGCTACACTTGAGGACGCAGTTTAACCACAGGCCACGACCCGGTATTGAACCCAGGATGTCGGCAGTGCTTCGAACTGCGACAAGAGACATTTTACCACCACAGGCAACCGTTTGAAACACATTAACGTAACACCAGCGAGCACATTTACAAACAAGTCACGTGGAAATACTGTAAATAATTTCAAAATTCTTTATTCCACAAACAGCCAATATTAACATAGTTTTGTACAGGAGACCTCGGTAGAGGTCTATTTAAGACCAGTTGATTAAAATTTTAATTAAAAAATCGTCTTAACAAACAAAAATGGGACTTGGGTAATTAAAATAGGTACAAAATTACTAACTTGTATCATTAATAAAAATGGCAAATATTTGTTTTGCCAAAAGATCGCACCGTCTTCGTGTGACTCGTATTGGTTTGATGCAAGTATGACGGTTTGTTGGCAGCGAGGCGCCAGTTAGGTCACAATCACAAGGGCTTGCTATGGCTTCTGAAGAGGTGATGGCTTCTGCTGTCCTTCCCGCTGTCGCTTTCATTCGAGTAGCTCAGCTTCCTCGGCATCAGATTTCTGCAAGGTAAACAACCAGCTCGAGATAGGGCAGTGGTTCTTCAACCGGGGGTACGTGGCAATGTCCCAGCAGGCACACGTAAGGAGATTTTATAAAGGTGTGAAATTATATCATGCATGAGTCATTGGTGAATAATCATGTATGCATCTGCCAATATCAAATTTAAATCCATATGGTAACTTATAACGACATAAAAGACCTTTATTAACTCAATGATCGTAAACAATGTGGTTTTCAAGAGTAACCAGCGAGCGTGAACAAATTAAGTAACGCGTGCAGAACGTCCGTTGATTTTTTTATTGATTGCAGTCATATTCTTGGTTCTTTCGGTAAAGTCACGTAGAAGGGAAACAATAAAATAATAAAAACATAAAACAATAAAATTCTAACGTTTCCACTGCAACACAAGCAATCATCATCAGGTGTGAAAACCACACACTGTAGTTTTCAAGAGTAACCAGCGATGATGATTGCTTGTGCTGCAGTCGAAACGTCGTGAGAATTTTATTGTTTTATATTTTTATTATTTTATTGTTTCCCTTCTACGTGACTTTACCGAGAGAACCAAGAATATGAATCCCTGCAGTCACGAAAGCTTTAAATAAAAATTTGATTGCAGTCACTTAGCTAGTTAGAATACCACACAAAGTGGACAATTGGTTAGAAATATCTACGTTCATTATATATACATTTATTTCTCAGAACCATGTTGGGTTGAAACTAAAATGCAACAAGGGGTACAGTAAGTAGCCAACAAAGGTTGATAAACACTGCCCCAGGGTAGTGGGTAGAGCGCCTCTCCATCAGAACACCTATACAACCATCAAATAAACATGTTTTTTTTTACTTTAGCAGGTAAGGCACGTGGAGCTATACAACTCTTTTTCAGAAGCGAGACTTGCCACAAATGATAGCTCAACAAAGTGGCTTATCATGTGGAAATGTACAGCACGCAAATGCTTTAAAATGCGAATACTGCATTTACACCCTCTATGACATTTGTGCCAAAGATATCATGAAAACAAAGGAGCTGCTCTTCCCAACTCTTATAGCAAACAACCACGCATAACGAGTTTGTATACAAGCTACTTCTCCATCCTTTCAAATAGCCCTTTGTCCACATTAGTGGCACACATTTTTAAATACTGTACTCTGCAATTATCCGTAATAGTTTGGCATATCGAACCAGCATTTTTTTTCTAATATTTACAAATGGAATAAGCCAATGTAATTAAAAAAAAACTAATTATTTTTTTTATCTTCAGATTCCATCAACATGACAATGAAGAACCCGGTTTAATTTCTTAAAACTACGCAAGTTGAAACCCAGGCTCTCAATGTTGTCAGCTCAGTGCTGACTTGGACATTCACCTCTAATTACCTTTCAAGTTCTACTACAGTGAGGGAAAAAAGTATTTGATCCCCTGCTGATTTTGTACGTTTGCCCACTGACAAAGAAATGATCAGTCCATAATTTTAATGGTAGGTATATTTGAACAGTGAGAGACAGAATAACAACAAAAAAATCCGGAAAAACGCATGTCAAAAATGTTATAAATTGATTTGCATTTTAATGAGGGAAATAAGTATTTGACCCCTCTGCAAAACATGACTTAGTACTTGATGGCAAACCTCTTGTTGGCAATCACAGAGGTCAGACGTTTCTTGTAGTTGGCCACCAGGTTTGCACACATCTCAGGAGGAATTTTGTCCCACTTCTCTTTGCAGATCTTCTCCAAGTCATTAAGGTTTCGAGACTGACGTTTGGCAACTCGAACCTTCAGCTCCCTCCACAGATTTTATAAGAGATTAAGGTCTGGAGACTGGCTAGGCCATTCCAGGACCTTAATGTGCTTCTTCTTGAGCCACTCCTTTGTTGCCTTGGCCATGTGTTTTGGGTCATTGTCATCCTGGAATAGCCATCCACGAACCCATTTTCAATGCCCTGGCTGAGGGAAGGGGGTTCTCACCCAAGATTTGACGGTACATGGCCCCGTCCATCGTCCCTTTGATGCGGTGAAGTTGTCCTGTCCCCTTAGCAGAAAAACACCCCCAAAGCATAATGTTTCCACCTCCATGTTTGACGGTGGGGATGGTGTTCTTGCGGTCATAGGCAGCATTCCTCCTCCAAACATGGCGAGTTGAGTTGATGTCAAAGAGCTCCATTTTGGTCTCATCTGACCACAACACTTTCACCCAATTGTCCTCTGAATCATTCAGATGTTCATTGGCAAACTTCAGACGGGCATGTATATGTGCTTTCTTGAGCAGGGGGACCTTGCGGGTGCTGCATGATTTCAGTCCTTCACGGAGTAGTGTGTTACCGATTGTTTTCTTGGTGACTATGGTCCCAGCTGCCTTGAGATCATTGACAAGATACTCCCGTGTAGTTCTGGGCTGATTCCTCACCGTTCTCATGATCATTGCAACTCCACGAGGTGAGATCTTGCATGGAGCCCCAGGCCGAGGGAGATTGACAGTTCTTTTGTGTTTCTTCCATTTGCGAATAATCGCACCAACTGTTGTCACCTTCTCACCAAGTTGCTTGGCAATGGTCTTGTAGCCCATTCCAGCCTTGTGTAGGTCTACAATCTTGTCCCTGACATCCTTGGAGAGCTCTTTGGTCTTGGCCATGGTGGAGCGTTTGGAATCTGATTGATTGCTGAGATTAGGAGCACTCCCTTTACTCCTAATCGCAGCTCGTTACCTGTATAAAAGACACCTGGGAGCCAGAAATCTTTCTGATTGAGAGGGGTTCAAATACTTATTTCCCTCATTAAAATGCAAATCAATTTATAACATTTTTGACATGCGTTTTTCTGGATTTTTTTGTTGTTATTTTGTCTCTCACTGTTCAAATAAACCTACCATTAAAATTAGACTGATCATTCTTTGTCAGTGGGCAAACGTACAAAATCAGCAGGGGATCAAATACTTTTTTCCCTCACTGTACATAGAGCTTTCTAAAAAGTGATGTGAAATCAACGTGCATGTTTAATTTATTTATCTATGTAACCTTAGCCAAAAAATTCATGTTACAGGCTCGACGCCGCTTTAACATCTCCGAACACCGGCCGAAAGTAACTTTTTTTTAAATCGCTTTTGCGAATGCTACTTTCTGAATTTGTTAAATTTTGTTGCAACCAATTCTCAGATTTGTAACTTGGCATTTTGCCAAAAAGGGGGTCCAATTACATCACAGGGTCTTTTGAACCAGTTGTAGAATTTAATGGCCAATTGTAGGATATTTTCTTTCAAATGTGGTCAATGTGTGGCTCAAGTAGCGAGCACACTTTGATCACAGGCTAACCAGATTTCCATAAAAAACTGGCCCACCTAAGAATACGATTTGAATAGGAAAATTGTACTGTCGGCAATGGTCTTGCCAAACACAAGAGCTCCAGTGTGCAGTTCCATACCTGTGGATATTCTCCCTGTGTTTGGTGGAGACTGGACTCCTCAAACCTGCCGAGACAAGAACCAACTCCCTCATTAGTACAGGCACAAACATTTGGCTATCAAGTCTCTGTTTGTGTCTGAATTCGACACAACCACCATTGCAAGGGATCATAATATTCATTGGGTTCAATCGTCATTCTTACAGCAAGTACTGGATTGACCATTTGTAATGTTGGATTATAGGAAATCCAGTGAAGCGATGAGCGAAAACACACGGGAAGTGACAATCTGATCACTTAACACAATGCTTACAATTGATAACAATGCAATATTTACTCGAAAGTAAGGTTTTGGATTTTTTAAATAAGTGCATTCAGAGAATGTTAAGAATTCGACGGCAGGGTAGAGGAATCAATTTGGAAGTTCACAATAGAAAGTGGCAAGAAAGTATTGTAGATATAATCAGGAAGAAATGGTTTTGTTTGGTGGGACACGTGCAAGACAGAGGGCAAATAACTGAGACAGGCATTGGAGCATAGCACCTAGGTCAGTGACAAAGAGGAAGACCTAAAGCCAGATAATGGTATCATACTCTTAAAGGCATACCTTGGAGGTCAGGTGCCAATTGTGTAATAGCTGCTGGATCTGAGAGAATGAAGCGATGGCGAGAATTGAGGCCATCAACATCACTGGGACTTCGTAGTCAAATCTCACCAGGCATTTATAACATTCACATCCGCACCCAGCTATTCAACTTGAATAATCCTAACATATAAACACCCAGGTCTGCGATTCTTTGTCATTCTGTGACTAACGCGGCACGGATTGGTTGAAGTGCGTCACGTGACTGGGACCAAGCAGCCAACCAACGCTTTGCAACGCAATAGAAGGGCGTGTGAAAGTCCGCATCGAACCAAACCCACAGCAAGGCCATCTACTTAACGACGAGAGGAAATTCACACGAAATGTTGTTTGCAATTAAGTATTCCAGATGTAAAATGATATAAGCTTTTAATGAAGAAATAACATTATCTAATTCAAAACATAATACAATTCAAAATGTTTCTTTTTTTAAACTTCAAAACGGAGCATCGGGTGCTTGCATGAATGTCGTTCGTGTGCAATTTTTTTCGCGCCATAGGCGCCCCCGAACAACCCCTAGTTCATGTTATAACAGGCACATTATCAGGGGGTACGGTTGCCGTCCTACAATCACGAAGGCACATCCACAGGCAAGAGCACATGCACAGCAGTCACAAAACACAGCTGTTAATCTCTGACCTGATGCAGGGCACCACGAACGTTGTATGGGGCTACAGGGATGCATTTGATGATCACAATCTATCTCTTGCAAGCTGTCCAAAGGAAAGTCTGAAATCTGTTGGAAAGAACAGGCAAAAAGTGTATTTGAGTGCATCATCAACACCACGTGTTGTGCTGGTATGAATACATTCCCACAAAGCATTAATCAATGAGCTATGTGGCTAAACAGATGATCTTTGCCTCTGAGTGGGGGCATGTCAGTGAGGAACACTGAGGTGTACACCAATGTACCACGAGCCAGTATTGTAACATCCATCCAGTGCATTTACCACCATACGTGACATGAAACAAATCATTTCGCAAAGCAAAGACACTCAATGGCAAAAAGCGGCTGCCGTTCTAAAAAGTCATATCCTTCTTCAGTAAGAGTATGGATTCCTGCAGTCACGGAAGATTCAAATCAAGATTTAATACTAATTTATCACAAAATATATGCATAGCAGTCTAGCCCAGTGCATATATTTTGCTGCTGTTGTGCATGGGAGTGCTTCCGCAGGTGTCTGCGAATGCAAATCTTACCCGACTCTGTCTTCTCGGCAAAGGCGATCTGCACGCGAGGACCGGTGACCTCAAAGACATCAACGACAGCCTTCTGCTAACAGGGGAGCACTCGATGTTGGTCAGAATGTCCAGCCCAGACCTAGCGGCCCTCGCAAATTCCCGTTCGCGGCCTCTCGGACTGTGCTGCCGAGTAGCGTTGTATCCACCTGCGTTGGTCTGGACATAGCTCATGCAGTGGGCGAGAGCCTCCGCTCTGACGGAGTGAGCCCGGTCACTGTGCCTGTGCTCCGAGCGCGGTGAAGGAAATGACAAGGGCACAGACCTATGCCGAAGCAGCGACGGGCTGGCACTACGCCCGTGGTCGCGTGCCTGCTCGGCAGGATTCAAAAAGCGCTTCAACAATTCGTGTTTCCGGTCCGAAGCAGAATTTTGGCTGCCACCGGTGTCACCGCAGTCTCGTTTATCCGGCGTGGCTGCCTTTGAAGGACCGTTTGTGTAAAGGAAACGATTCCTGTTGACAGAGGGGACCTGTCTGGACGCCTTGTCCTGCGGACTTCCAACTCTTTCCAAACGTGGATGGGAATGTACGTATTTCTCCTCCTCCTCCAAATACCTAATTATGACATTCTCACTAAGAGGCATCAGGGCCTTCTCCCGTGTGTGTAAGCGTGGATGCATTCTGCCTTCTTCCTCATCACCACTCCACAGGCCATCGGCATACTCAGTAATGTCCACCCCATTCAGGAGTGCATCATTTGTCACTGCGGCCATGTTTCTACCCTGTGGCAAAACAAACCTTGGCACAGAGGTTTCTGTAGCCACATCCGATGATGGAAAAGCATTCGCCTGACAGACAGAGGTGTTAGGGTAAAGCCATCTATTCTTTGGCAACGTGGGTGCATACGACCTCCCATCTGTCAATGTAACACATGCATCATCCGAAGCAAACCTGTGCGTGCTCTCCTGTTCTAATTGCCAAAGGGCCCTGTGGCCCTGAGCAGACTCTGGGGCGTTGGGCATCGACAGAGCTGAGGCTGGTACGAACGACCTCGCCTCCTCGTGAATCCCCACCGAATCATTATCCTTTAAAAGTGAATGAGTAGCCACGGTGGTAGCATTATTCTCAGAAAGCATCAGTTGGTCAAAATTAACAGAACTGCTTTTCTTGCTAGAACTCTGTGATGCGGAGGGCAATGCGCTTTCGGATATTGGTCTGCAGAGCTGCTCACTATGGCTGCATGCGTGATGTGTGCACTCCCTTGGGATGCTCTTCCTTGGGATGGATGCAGTCATGGACTTGGGGAACGTCAATGAGCAGAGCTGCAATGTATTTGCCTCCACTGGGCTGTTCTGGTCACTGCGCAATACATTCATGAGTGGCCGAGAAGCAGCAGTAACCCCACTATCATGCTGATGGCATCCCTTATCCATACTTCCATAAGTAAAATGTTCCTTTTCAAAGCAAGAATGACCACGAAGATCACTTGGAATATATTGTTTAACGTGACCCACTACTCCACAGATTCTACAATCGTTTGCGACGTCGCTCTCATCAATTTCAGCGGGGTTCCACATCTTTACCAAGCTTTTTTCATAGTTCCTCGTGGCGGCATCCAATCGCTTTCGCTCCCGGGCCACCCTTGCCCTGCCTGCCGCCAATTGAAAGTGCCCATTCTTTCTCCACATGTGGTGCGATGCACGTTGTTTTGTATGCCGACTGCTGTCCTTGGCGATGAGCTTTGACAGCTTGGCGAGCATGTATGGATACACCTCCCCAATGGTGGTGTTGCTCACGTCCACTGGTACTGCCTCATCCGAGAATACTGGACTGGTTTCAGTGCCAGTCCGGTTGATGGGGGCATGGGAGCCTTCAGGTGAAATCTCCATGATGACACATTTGAGCAACTGGCCTCCATGGTGGTTGGTAGCTGTGTGTTGCATTGATGGAGTAGAGGGAAGGTTAACCATCTCAACCGACATGGCTGACGTGTCTTGCTCTTGAAGGCTGCCTTCCAACATGCCTGTCAAGAGGGAATACGTTTAAAGTGAGGTTCATATTTTGTAGAGATAAAAATTAAAATGTGTTTTAAAGCGTCTCAAGGCAGAAATTGCATATTGAGCAGTGCTCATCAGTCAATGATCCCGAGTTGGCAATGGAAATTCCACAATCAATTAAATGAAAACCACTTTGGAAGAAAGTCAACAAATATCACAATGGAGACTGGCTCCTGCTACGAGAATGTGAGTCTTCCACCAGGTGCCAAAGCAGGGAAGCATAACCCCAAAGATAACTGAGAAGTGAGACAAGTATTAAAGTTGAGCATATTTGCTAAGTTGTCAAAGTGCAGTTTAAGAGTTATATATGCTTTAGAGTAGACGAAAGTGTTTTTACCATTCTCAGTGAGGCACTGCTTTTCATGAAAGCTGTTATTACCTTCATCAAATGCCCCCGGGTTCTCAGAATGGCGCAGGGTCTCTTCCTCCTTTGCATGTTGACATTGTTTCACATTCTGAACCAGAGGGTATGCAATCACACCGTCTCAATTAGAAGTTGAACAATTCATATTTAAGGTATGTTCTATAACTAAAACATGTTTTTTTATTGTATAAATATGCCATGTGGGTAATGTAAGTCAACCTCCCAACCGAGATGTGCGCTCACAAACTTCTGTGCAACCCAGCTACACCTCCCTGTTGACAAGAATAATTAACACAGGGAACATACCTCCACCTCTGCGTGACGTTTATCTTCACCTTGCATTGCTTTTCTATTCTGCTCTTGCATCTGCAAGACTTGATTCCCTGTACAGTACAATAAAACAGTAATGTACGGAGATCCATTAACTTGTTGGGGTTGTAGTAATAGGTTTTACCCCTTTAACTGGCACAAAAATGTACACCTTTATTCAAGGCATCGTGTTTGCAATAACCACAACACAAGCAGTCAAAATGCAAACAAAAGAGACAACTCTGATAATAATATGCACTGTCCTTGAATACTCTGATAGTGCACTGTTTTTGAGTTGTACGCCTTTTGGCGTCTTCTGGTCCAACACCAGTGGAGACTAGGCTCTAAGAAAAGCCGTCTCGGGTGTGGACCAATCAAATTCAAGGACAGTGCATATTATTATCAGAGTTGTCTCTTTTGTTTGCATTTTGACTGCTTGTGTTGTGGTTATTGCAAACATGATGCCTTGAATAAAGGTGTCAGTTTTTGTGCCAGTTAAAAGGGTAAAACCTATTACTATATCATCTTGTTACTGGCAAAGGAGGTCTCATAATTGTTGGGGTTGTTTGGACAGCATCCTCTGTGGAAAGTGTGAGACTTAACATTGCGATGGTACTGAGTAACTGGATGTTGAATGCACATGTTTTTCGAAGTGCTTACTGATGATTGATGTTGCTTCATTATGGAAAACTTCACTTCTTGTTTTGCGATGACTCTGAAAACAAATGTTGGTATGAGCATTTCCAATGTTTAGAATTTTATAAAATAAAAAAAAAACTCTGAAGTGACAAAATAAGGTGATGTTTGTCATCTAACTAAACAAATACTTGAGCAATTAAAAACATAATCAGAAATAATTTTACAATGCAATTATAAGCAAACATTAAGCTGAAGTTAAATTATGCAATTTTCATGGCGGTAACTGTTGCATTCTTAACGTTACACACAATCCCGTTGCAAAGATGCACCTTTGTGGCTTCAGTTTGTAACACAGTTGCACAGTGCTACACTATTAACACTTAATCAGAACTCATGTCTCTATGATCGAGGATAGATGGTTGGGCCCTGGGAGCTTGCGAATAAAACTACGAAGTAGGCATTTTAAATGAGAAAACAGTAAAAGTCATTAAGCGTCATTTAGCTTGATAAAAGACATTAGTTCAGCTTTCCTCTCAAACATCTCCTAGCTGTCAAACGCATGCTGGATTCTGTAACAGACATCATTGCCTGCAACATTATTGCTGGATATTTTCAGTTACATTTTATATTTTGGGAAACAAAATTGACATCTTTGTCATAATTAAAATGCAATAATCGTTAGTTTAAACAACTAATTACAGTAAATCTTGACTTAAGGCTTTCGTGACTGCAGGAATTCATATTCTTTGGGTATTTCGGTAAAGTCATATGACTTTGACTTTACCAAAAGACCCAAAGAATAACTAACTACAGTAATTATTTTTGGTGTTTTATTCAGGAATATGTTGCATTAGCTCAGCAATGCAACCACTCACTCTTCATGGTCTTTTGCTTAACATATAACTTCCGTGCACTCACCTGCTCTGCCATATGCATCATATATTCCAAGTCGTCATCTGGATTCCATTTTTTTTCACCTGCATCACATACAAACAATATATTGCATTACGGTACTTTAAATACCGTACTTCATGTGACATGCCATTCGAACTAAAATGGTAAATATTGACATTAGAGCACTTAAATTATTTACGCGTTAGATATTAACAAACTTAAAGAATGTACGGTACTACTGTTCCAATTGATGGCCTTAATAGTCCGTGTGTAGCAACATCGCTGGATGTCACCATGTTGTAAGTGCAGTGTCGGCACTAGAGGGCACGGTGTGTGTGTGCGCCAACCTAAGAGAGAGGTCGTGGCCATGGCACTCTGGTTGACCAGGGAGGCCCCAAGAGGGGGCTAGGAGGGTCACGTGATTGGAACCCAGGATCTTCCCGATGGTTCTGGAAGGGGGGCGTGGCCAAGGGCGGAGCCGGCCACGCCGCAGAGAATATAAGCAGAGTCCCGAGAGGGATCGTGGTTGTCCATCCTGGGGAAGAAACCATTCCTCTACGATCTCCATACTACGAGTCTTCCAGCACGTGGACCCGGGCCAGTATGTTGTTGGTCCCGGGTCCGGAGTTAATAGTTACTCAGTTTCCAGTGTAGTTAGCCGGGTGGTCACCACCCTAGGTTGTTGTCTTTTTAAAGGGGAAGTCACCCCGTTGTGTTGGAACTAAATAAATGCGCTGCCTCCAAGTCTAAGAGTGTGACTCAGTTGAACCCACTACACGTGCATGCAGACTGGAGGAATCCGATAAGCTATTTCACGGGTGTCCAGTATGGGCGGGTCAGCAAGCTACAACAAATATTACCGCTTTAAGATACGGTACAACATGGTAAAAAGACCACGTGACATTTAAATTTAAAGACGTGTCCACAAATAAACCGAGGCCATACCAAACTTGGTAACGTAGGTCATCCTGTCGAGGTCAACGATGGGAGCATCTTCAAATGGATGCGAATACTGCAAAGACAACAAAAAAAGCATTGCATTATTTTGGGGTTTTTTTATGATCTTGGATCAGGAACGCTTAAACGTGATTAATTAATGAATCGTGAGTAATAATGGATAACAAATACGAAGCCAACTCTGTGGTTAATACCCCTTAATCCTGTTCAATGTGCATCGGTGTACATTTCCAGCCCCTGAAAATCCACTGCTGGATGAGGGCCTCCCCACGCTATGCGAGTCGTGCAACATTGTGCTTCGTAAGCTGTAAAAGGCCAACCACATGTATTGCTGCAACAGCTTGACATTTAATACTGTACTAAACCACCCTAACAGCTGCTTTCGAACAATTTCGATGGTATTGATCTTAACAATTGAACAGAAACCAATTAGAACACAAACTCAGGCCCGTCACTGGAATAGTCCCCCCCCCCCCAATCCATTTGTCATTCAACTGCCGGGTGGCGGACTCCCCCCTCTCCACGGGGGGGGGGTATCTGACCATACTTCACCACGCCGTGCCGGTGATGATGGGGGGGGGTATCTGACCATACTTCACCACGCCGTGCCGGTGATGATGGGGGGGGTATCTGACCATACTTCACCACGCCATGCCGGTGATGATGGGGGGGGGTATCTGACCATACTTTACCACGCCGTGCCGGTGATGATGGGGGGGGGTATCTGACCATACTTCACCACGCCGATTTAGTGCGGGTTGGTGAAAAGGGCTGGGCGGGCGAACAGAAAGAGGACCTTTGGGTGGCCGGGCTCACAGTAAGTTGCATTGCGATCACCACTGAGCCATTCATTCACCAGGACCCTCAACAAGGGCCCTCTGGCATCGCTTGAAGTCACGCAAAGCCCCTTTTGGCCCCATGCGCTTAAACCTTCAACGATGGGAGTTCAACTCCCATTTAAGCCTAGAGAGCGGAACGGAGTTCAAAATAACTCACAAACACTTAATTACCCAATGCAGAAGATCCCTGGGGGTTTTGATCTTCCACGAAGTTCACGGTACACCCCAAACCGCTGCACAAACCGTGTCAGCAGCAGATGCGGATACCCTGATTATGATGATGCACAAGTGGAAACTTTAAACAAAACTCTCCCGTAGTGTGGCGACTTTGTTCGTCCAGAACAGACCGTGCAACATCTATCGACGCAATACCCGGTCCACAAATACGAAGGAGAGACATCACGGGGGTGGGGGGGGGTATCTAACCATACTTCACCACGCCGTGCCGGTGATGATGGGGGGTATCTAACCATACTTCACCACGCCGTGCTGGTGATGATGGGGGGGGGGTATCTGACCATACTTCACGCCGTGCCGGTGATGATGGGGGGGAGGGGGGGATCTAACCATACTTCACCACGCCGTGCCGGTGATGATGGGGGGAGGGGATCTACCACGCCGTGCCGGTGATGATGGTACACCCCGCTGCTCCTCCGGACGCGGCTAATCTGGGCTTGACCACCGACAAAGTGACACTGCAGTTTGTTTTCGCGCAATCTACATCATCAGCAAGCCGTACGACATCAAGACCAGCGCACCACCACCGGCTCCTCCGGCGCACACGTCCTCCCGTCACCTTCTCGAATATGAGCTCAAGCCTCCGCCTGAAGCGCCTCTCATTGTCTTGCAGATTCCTGTGCAGCGAGTCGTCCATGAAGGATGACGGACGGAGCGACCGAGCAAGCAAACTCGCGAGCTAGCGACTGAGCTAGTGACTGAGCTAGTTACTGAGCTACCGTGCTAGTGACCGAGCTAGTGACCGCGCTAGTGACTGAGCTAGTGACCGCGCTAGTGACCGTGCAAGTGAATGAGCTAGTAGACCTTGCTAGTGACTGAGCTATCGAACTAACGACTGAGCTACCGATCTAGTGACTGAGCTAGTGAACGAGCTATAGTGAACGAGCTATAGTGACCGATCTAGTGACTAAGCTAGTGACCGATCTAGTGACTGAGCGACCGGGCAGCAGCAGCAGCGGCAGCGCCGTGTCTGCCGCCGTTCAAATCTAACCGGCTTCCCACGTGACCCGCGACAGCGCCGCCGCCCCATTGGTCCGCGACGACGCCCCAACTCGCAAGCGGATTGGATGGCTGCGGGTTGGTTTTTTAACGGTTTTGGTCACGTGGTTCAAGGGGGTAAAGGGGGTGGGGGCCGCGGGGGTTCTTAGGATTCAACCGCTCTGAATGGTTGCTGTGAGATGTGCAAATATTGTAATAAACATTGTGATACACATTGTAATAAAGGTTGATTTTTTTTTGGGGGGGGAGGGGGTTTGATCGCGTAAATATAAATGTGTCGTTAAACACGACACAGCCAATTCATAAGGTTTGTCATGTAACACAAAACGTGCAGATTAGTTACGACTCCAACATAAGCGGTGCGTTGTAAATGCTGTGAGTTTACTCTCCAACACACCGGTGCGCTGTGCAGTAGTCACGAATTGGCACACAGCGCAAGCCCCCTTGGGGCAACAGTGCACTGGCTCCATAGACGCCCCCAGAGTCCAATCGTCGCTCAGAAGAACGCCCCTTGTCTCGCTCATCAAATCGACTCGCGCTTGCACGGGTCTCCGGTAGAGCGAATCGTGCATTGCCACGGAGAATTGTGGCTATCACATACACAATAAGCGCACCGTGCCCGTGGTTTCTTTTTTTTTAAAAAACGCGTATTACGTTTTGGATCAGCTGAGCGCGGTGCCCCTTCCCGGCTTCCGTAAGAGGCGTCGTCTCCCGTTACATCACTGCCAGGCAGGCAAGCCCCAGCCGAGCGACACAACAACAACAAACAAACAGACTCATCTACAACAACAATTAGACAGGCAGCCTCTCAGCAGACATGAACAGGATCTTCGGGCGTAGCAAGGCGAAGGTGCCGCCAGCCAGCCTCACGGACTGCATTGCCAATGTGAGTGGAAGGGGGATTGCGCGTGACAGGAATGGCCTCTGCCGGTGGGAAGTGATGGATGCAATAACATTTAGATTTTAATCATTCGGCCCCTTATTCAGTCAATGTTTTGCGGGTGTTACTATATTGTATTCCAGGCTGGATTGCGCTAGCGTCGAGGGCTACGCGAACTCTGGCTAACTCCTTGATGTGAACCCACTTTCATGTTTTTTTTTCAAATAAAAATGTCAATTATTTAGGATGCACTGGGTTAGTCACGGGCTTTAAAGCTGAAGGTGGCTCTGGTGCCAGTTGTTGGTCTATGAGATTGTGTTCCAATTTCAGGATGAGCTCTCTGTGTTTAACCCCTACGGCCCAATGTGTCTTCTTGTCGAGCTTACCCCAGGCATGCTACTGCTGCTCATTCAATGGATACGCCCAATCCTCACTTAGAGCTTCACATAAAACAAGTGATGTTAACAGGTTGTAATAATGAGGTGCATTGCAAGCCGCTATGATGAAAAATGCTCAATGTTAATAAAATTATTAATTTCCAAAAAATAAGGATAAATACTATGTAAGCCCAGTGACAAAGCAATACATCAACAATGGGCAAGGCGAACCCCGAGTTCTTAATGCTGATCAAGCTCATTTACACGTCGATATAATTTTTTTATAAAAAATTGTACATGGCTCAATATAAATAAAATACTCTTTGGTTCTTTCGGCAAAGTCACGTAGGTAGAAATAAAATAAAATAATTATATAAATAATTACATTTCCATGATTCTTTTTTATTACAGTATTTCTATCTACGTGACTTTATTCATGCAGTCACGAAAGCTTCAAATCAAGATAAATAAAAGAATACAATGTATGCCATAATAATTACATAATAAGACCAATGGTGATATTGCCAATACCAAAAGCTATGGAATGATAATATTGACAGCAGTAATAATAATGCCGCTCAGTATTTGATGTTAATCCACGCCTTCCTTGGACTTAGTGGTCTCAATTAGTCCGAGAATACAGTACTGTAGCAATAGCAATCGTAAAACATTTTGTAGAGCGAGGCGTCGCTCACAATCATTGCTGACAGGCCACTGTCTGGGTGACCACTGGACCGTTTAGAGAGACGCTTCTGAGTGTCCGCCCTACTTCCACGTACTGTATAGTGTACAAGAGAGAGCAGGAATCTATCCCCCTCTGTCTCTGCAGTGGTCATGCAGAGGTTGGTGTTCTCCAGCTCTACATCTTTTCTCCATCTCTCTCTTCAAGCAATGAATAAGGCTGCCCACTTGCAGTAGGTCCTTGTTCCCGGTGGACTGGCATGTGGTCTTCCCTATTTGGGGACAGACCACCCCTCACCTCTTTCCGAGCCGCGTATCAGTGGCAGGTGAGATTAGATTGGCAGGCCCGGGTTGCAGTCTGTGCATCGACCTCAGTCCCGGCCTCTGGCGGCCTCCGCTGCAGTGACCTGGCCGATGTGGAGGCCCAGCTGGAGGTCCGGCTGGCCGCTTCGCGAACATTCGCAGGGTGACCAATGAATGTGGGTGCTTCCAATGACTATACAACTCAGCCTTTAAGTACTGTAGTTAACCTTACATTTATCACAGAGATATTCACATTTCTTTATTACGTGAAGCCATCACAAATTTCATGTGATTCACAGACGATTATAGCCGTTTCACAGTAGCAGACGACGTTGTGAAACGGCTTAATCCAACTCGGTAATTTGCGAGTCATATTACAAAGTGGCAGATTGGGACCATCACTTTCCCCACTCTTTTTCGAATAAGGTCACGGGAACTTTGACATCCCCTGGGAAAGCAGATGGTGTGTATGTTTTTTGGTTAATATGCCCGCGGTATTAACCAGGGCAGTCACTGGGCTGGATATATGAACCTTAGCAACAAGCGGCCAACACACCACCGCTCGGCCATGTCACCACCCAAAAAGAAGAAGAATAATCAACGTAACTCACAAGTACTCTTTGGTTCTATTCGGTAAAGTCACGTAGGTAAAAAATAAAACAACAAAAATCACATATTCTTAGTTTTGAAAAAACTAAGAATATGAATTACTGCAGTCACGAAAGCTTTAAATCAAAACAAAAATCACGTTTCGGCCACGACGTAGCCGAAATGTCATGATTTTTGTTGTTTTATTTTTTACCTACGTGACTTTACCGAATAGAACCAAAGAGTATGGATCCTTGCAGTCACGAATGCTTCAAATTTAGTAACTCACAAGACAACCAATAATTAAGATAACGCTGATAATACCATAAACAATATTGTGGACTGACAGGTGGAGAGTCGAGGGGAATCTATCGACAAGAAAATCACCAGGCTGGAAGTGGAGCTGAAGAAGTACAAGGACCAGATGAACAAAATGAGGGATGGACCTGCCAAGGTGCACGCACGCATACACACTTTGGTTCAGCTCAAGTTGTATGCTCAGAGATTGTCAATGACGTGGCTGCCGTTTCAACGTTCAAGTAAGACAAGCAACTGTATGACCAGTGATTGTTTACAGGTATAAAGTAATTTCGTGTTTCCATTCAGAACCTTGTGAAGCAAAAGGCTTTGAGAGTCCTCAAGCAAAAACGAACGTAAGTGGCATCTTTATTCGTAAAATGGATTTTCGTTGAGAATGGTCCATAATAAATTGATTCACCGAAGATGTAATTGTTTTGCACATTGATTTCCCTAAACAGCATCATGATTAGCAAAATGCAAAGACTAGATTGTGTCCCGTTTTTCTCAAGTGAAAGTATGTAGTTGCTCAAATTAGAATTGGAGAGATGCTTTCCTCTACTGGTGGCTGAGGAACAGTTGTACGCATTCCACATTTAAAAAGCTGGAGTCAGTCTCTGCATCGTATTACCACTGCCGACTTCTATATATCGGTGCTCATGCAAGGGATGAGAGGCTGACCCAACACCCAACTGGAAATGTAACCCACCTGACCAGCTATATTTGGGTGGACTTTAATCAAGTAAATTGTATTAATTGAGTTTGAGCTTAGTTTAATCCAGTGATTCCAAGTTACTTATTGTTTTTGCTTTAACCAAACTTTTAAACATTTTTATTTATTGCCCAATGGGTGTTTACCTGTGCCAACATAAACAACAGCACATTTTTAGAACACCTCTCACCATTGTTAATCTGTGGTTCATACAATCTCAGGTACGAACAGCAGAGGGACAACCTGAGCCAGCAATCCTTCAACATGGAGCAAGCAAACTATACTATCCAGACACTCAAAGACACAAAAACCACGGTATGTTACATTCTTATTGACAAGTTGATTTTACGTGCAGGAAAATTGTTAAAACCTTACAGAATACATCCAGAGGCTGTGTATTATGCATATAATGGTACTTAATGAAACTAGCATTTGAAACCATGAATGCGTAGCAAAATGACAATTTAGTTATAGACAAGTACTAACTAAATATTGAATCAATTGCAAAACTCCCAACTCAGACTGCTTATCTATTTAAAAGTTACTGTCAACATGTAACAGTGCACCCCCTCATGATTCAATTGCTTATCACAAACCATGACAATAAGTATAAAGGAATACATATTTTTATGTTCATTTTTTACCGTTTCATTGGTGCCATCTTTTTTAATATTGTCATTAGCCTTACTTTAACACTTGCACTTAATTTCCACATCATAAACACTGTAATTGATTCTCACACACTCGATTACGTGCATAATACGATTCATTATGTCAATTAATGGACCCAACCCTAAACTATGGATCAATTGAGCTAATCCATGCTGGATCTGCACAATTGAGCAATTCTGAGGAATTTATTGGAATAGTGGATCAGATGGGTTTATTTTGAATGAGATCAGAGCCACATGATTGTATTTTTTTAAAAACCTGAACTGCACACTGCTAATGTTTCATTTGTTGACAGCATGCAAATGCTACTCTCCTTTACCGATCATTTTGGGCAGGTCGATGCAATGAAGATCGGTGCAAAGGAAATGAAGAAAGCATACAAACATGTTGATCTAGAAGACATTGAGGTAAGCATTTATATTATATAACTGTGTAGGGTACCAATGCATGGGTCATTGTATTGCACAATCCGCAATGCACGTACATATGTTAAGAAGAAACGAATGGTAAGTGCCATATGTATTCATAAGATACGCATCAAAGTTTGGTTCATACCAATTTGGAAAGGAAATCCATTTGTCTCTATAAAGCCTGTGCATTTGCTTACAATCCAGCTAGAGACAGAATCGTCTGGGATTACCTCTGGTGGCACCCCACTGGGATGGATGGATGAGTTCCATTTTGTTGGAGGTAAATGGTTGTATGGAGAGACTGGCCTCTCCCATGAAATGTGGAATGTCCACTACTAACCTATGTCGATCAGTAGAGATATGTGTTGGCTCGTTGCTTTTTTGAACAGGGAGACAATTTGACTTGTCTTTATAGGATTTACAAGATCAGATGGAAGACATGATGGGTGAAGCTGATGAAATTCAGGAGGCCCTGGGCAGGAGCTATGAAATGCCAGAGGTGGACGATGATGAACTTGAAGCAGGTATGAACTGTTAAGTGATGGTTTGGCCAGATGTAAGGGTGTCAGTTATATTGACCTCAAGTGATAAAAGAGAAGATACCAATCTTCATTTGAAGCTTTCGTGACTGCAGGAATCCATACTCTTTGGTTCTTTCGGTAAAGTCACGTAGCTATAAAATAAAATTAAAATAAATCACGACGTTTCGGGCGCAACACGAGCATCCATCATCAGGTGGGAAAGCATGATCTGCTGCTGAAGCAGACTTTTTTTAAAAGGTTTGAAATGGGTGTAGCCCAAGGGTCATAAAGAAGTGGCCGGGGCTAGTGATGAGAAGATACCAGTTGTGTATTTCAATCCAAATATTGCTTCTTAGCATATTGATGTGCTTCAAGGACATTGCAGAAGTCAGCCATTATGTACAAATCATGCAACAGAAATGCACAATCCTGTGCAATTTGGGAATATCGGAAATCTGAGTGAGGACGACTTAACTCAGAAGGGTTGCAACTTTAAATCCTGATCATGAGTCAGTTTAGACCAACACACATTGGGGGTCAATATGATGAGCACTACTTTAAATGCTAACAGTGGGTGTGCTGTGGAATTACTGGTTCTTGCTGTGGGGATTTTGAGTTTCCATCTACGGCTGGCTCTCTGTGTTTAGAAACCTGGTTTGATCTGTCTGGACACAAGCAGGTGGTGTAAACATAGATACAGTTAGTGGGACCTTTCTGGTCCAAAGGGATTCATGTGGACCGTAAACATTGATGTCAGCTGGCACAAACAAGCCAATGCATCTACCTGAAGTGGATTTGCATGTCGTCACACTCCAGGAGTGTACAGCACACATTCAATTTGGAGTGAATGTCACATTACGTCATCTGTGATGTCCATAAACGGACTTGACCTTCCCCTATTTGAATACGTGTAATAGCTCCCTTGAGCCACCCAATCACCTCCATAATAGCTTTGAAACATCTGTCGTTGATGCGTTGTGTTGACAGAGCTGGAGGCCCTGGGGGATGAGCTCTTGGCGGATGAAGATGCATCTTACCTGGATGAAGCATCTACTGCCCCGGCTGCTCCAGACTCAGTCCCCAATGACAAGACCACCACCAAGGTATACAAAAGAAGTGTCCTTTATATTTCCTGGGTGTCTCAATTGCATGGCAAGTAGTTTGAATGTGAGAGGAAACTGCAGTACCTCAGAAAAAACACTCAAAATGTTTCACAGATAGGTCTCAAACCCAATTTCTGGACTGACATCTCCCATTGCAGCCCTGGGGATTTGGAAATCTTATAGGGCATGATAAAATGTGTGCGGCCTGCTCAACCCTACTACCAAAGTAATAGATGACACGTGTGTTCATAAGGTGCTCGAGAAAGTAAAATTCTCAAGGCTACTTGTTTACTGAATTATTACTTTGGGAGTGTGCCAAGGGCATCCTTTTTACGTAGCTTTTGTCCCAGGAAATTGGGTTTGAAGCAGTTTGCCTCCTTTCGATATTTTTTTCTTGTGTTTTCAATCGTACACTCACATAGTTTAGTCTGTATAATTATACAATGATATCACTTCGATGAGAAGACATTTTAGTTAACATCATAGTTATTTCTTACAAAGGCTCTGGTGAACAAATTGTATAATTATTACTGTTTATGTGTTTACTATAATGTTACGTGGAATTGATATTTTAATTCAAGGATCAATTGTTGGCAAGTTATTTGCTTTCATCCGACATGGAAAACGAATACCACTGACAACATTGTGATGTGTGTTTCTGCAGGATGGAGTGCTGGTGGATGAATTTGGTTTGCCACAGATACCTGCTTCATAAAGTACCCAAAATACCAAACTGAGAATTATTGGTTCATGTTATTGGCTAATAGTTTCACGTGAAATTGCATGCAAAATCCCTAACAAAGCAGATCTTTGGTAGGAAAGATTAGTATGACAGTTGTATTTTACATTGTTGACTTAGGAGGGAAAGGCCCTCATACCAAGAAGTGCAATCAGCACTATAAATGCATTCATCTTTCTTACGTGTTGATGAACGAGGATATATTCCTCTACCCTTATTTACTCAAATTATCTTTTGAGCACTCCGCACATTAAATGGAGACTGCCAATTCATATGCATTGATGGTGTTTCTTGCTTTTGTATTATAATTAACTTCCTGATACTGCAACCATTGCAAAATAAGGCCCAAAGTTTCTTAGTTTTACTTATTACTCTAATAACCATGAGCCCAGTAGCTGTGAGAATTCCACATTCCTATGGTAAGGGTCTGTATCGTTAAAAACAACCACTGTTGGCTATCTGTACAGTGATACTCGATTATCTATGAACCCTGTAAGGATGATAAACTGATTTGACCTGCAACCAGGATTTTAACTTGGTCTTTTGATTTAAATTGAGCACTGCCACCTGGCCGAATATTAACTTGACATCATATATTACTGTAGTTATGTTTATGCATTATATGTTAATACTCTGCATGTAACAATTCACTCTATTAATTCGCACCATTAAGGGTCACACCTTGATTAAATAATTATTTTTTGCCACTATCCATGTCGAATCCATAGTAGCTGGATTTTCCATGAACCAATCATAATACATGCGCAATTTGGTGTATGGTTCACAGCTAAGAATCTTATTTATATCAAATATGCCCAATGACGTATTATATTAGCGATATGACAAGTGACGTACCTGCATATCTAAAACTCTTATTTTATGCATAGGCACAATTGAAGTGTTGCTTTGTGTTAGCAAATGGAAAGTTATTTAATGCATCCGAAAACATGGAGTTATGTTTATGGTAAGTAAAGGTCATTGTTTCTTGGTCTTAAAGCCCACAAAGAGCTACGAAACAGTGCTCTGTAAGCTAAAGTTGCACATGTACATATTTTTTTCGATATGGAAAGTGTCCACGTAGTATTAACAAAAAAGTATTTTGTATTTCAATTTTAAAAAATTGCGCTGATTGTGGTGGAACGATCGGTAGTTTGAACTGGATTCTAACCAAGTGGTGACATTACAAAACGCGGTGACCAGGCACGCACGGAGAAGCGACATAACGCGCATTTGTAATTGGTATTTAAAAATAAAATTCCCCACCAAAATGTAACTGAAAGAAGAACGGTAATAACGTAACAAGTGAGACGTTAACCGAATTAAATGTTAATTTATGTCAAACTGAATTACGAATTTCCGTAAATCTAACAAAGAGAGTGGGTTCATCTGTACTTGATTTGGATCATTGCAATCGGCACTTCCGACTGGCAGATTTGCCCGATTGCAGGCCTGGTGCTGTCACCATGAGGGTGAACTTTCAAATGTTTCAGATGAGATGTGATGATATCATACAATTTATATTATACTTTTGTTTTAAGCATGTTGAAGATGCGATATTTATCTTGCAAACATTTAGTGATGTTAATTATACGTGTAGATGCTGCTACATTAGAAGCGAATTACATTGTGTAAATAGTGTGCTAAAATTTTGAGATAAAACTTGTTTGTGTGTATTTATAATCAGTTTTCAGTCCCCAGAGGGGAAAGGATTGTAGGTAAAGTGTAAGAAGCATCAGTTATGAAGGTGTAATGCATTGGTCAATAAACATACACAAGATGTAATGGTGATGGAGTGTGCTAGACATTTGTGACTGAACCCAGATGTAAAGAATAACGTTCCACACCCCAAACTGGATGAATGCATGACCACTGATTCAGGGGTTCATAAACCTTGGAAACCTTTATACTTATACAGGGACTCCTCGTCGTTGAGACTTTTAAGTGGAACGACGTTCAGTGAATATTTTCCCCATAAGAAATAAAACTTAAGTTCGCATGTTACTTTCTAGTGGATGTTTTTACCAGACAAAAACGGTTGTATGTTGAAATACAGCAGCCTGATATAAAAGATGTGAAGTTTTCTTACGATTTTAGTAAAAAAAAAACCCACTATTATTAATAAAACTGTATAGGTGGAACCTGCCGTCTGATCCTGTTCAATGAACATAAATATCAAGAGGAAGTACAATTTAAGAAAACAATTGAATTTCATGACATGGGTATGGCATGGGCCGGTATACAGGCGGCCAAACAACTAGAGCAGTGGTTCTTAACCTGGGTTCGATCGAACCCCAGGGGTTCGGTGAGTCGATCTCAGGGGTTCGGCAGAGCCCCCGCCACGGAGGTCCGGACACACTTGAATTATTGTGTAAATTTGTGATGACACACGGCCCGCTTGGCCATCACTGGCTGCAGATGATCATGCTACACTGCTTGGCCAATCAGCGCTGCGGGGAATTTAGTGCGTACTCAGTAGTCAACGTGTGACTGTTGTTGTCGTACGTCGTGTGATTTCTTTAATATTTTATCCATACTAACTATGTCGGGCAAAAGAAGAAAGTGGTCGGACGAATATGTACAACATGGATTCTCATGTATCACGGAACGTGATGGGAGTGAGCGTCCTATCTGCATGATTTGCAACGCCAAGTTGAGCAACTCTAGTCTTGCACCGGCAAAACTAAAGGAACACTTCTTGAAGCTGCATGGAGACGGGGAATACAAGAACACAACACTTGCTGAATTCAGGGTGAACAGAGCCAGATTCGATGAAAGGGCCACTCTGCCTGCTCTTGGATTTGTACCTGTTAACAAACCGATCCTGACAGCATAGTACGAAGTTGCTTACCTGATCGCAAAGCAGGGCAAGCCACACACCATTGGTGAAACACTTGTGAAACCAGCTGCATTAGAGATGGCGAATCTGATACTCGGAACAGCGGCCGAAGGTAAATTATCCCAAATTCCCCTTTCAAATGACACCGTCAGTGACAGAATAGAAGACATGAGTAAAGACATCTTGGCTCAAGTAGTCGCGGATCTGATTTCAAGCCCGGCAAAATTCAGCCTTCAACTCGACGAAACCACAGACGTTTCTGATCTAAGCCAGCTTGCTGTTTTTGTACGCTATGTGAAAGACGACATGATAAAAGAAGAGTTTTTATTTTGTAAGCCTCTTACAACAACAACGAAGGCAGCCGATGTGAAGAAGCTTGTGGATGACTTCTTCAGAGACAACAATCTTTCATGGGATATGGTTTCTGCAGTTTGTACGGACGGAGCTCCAGTCATGCTGGGAAGAAAGTCTGGTTTTGGTGCGCTAGTAAAGGCCGATGCACCACACATCATTGTGACGCATTGTATTCTGCACAGGCATGCGTTGGCAACAAAAACCTTACCTCCAAAAATGGCAGAAGTATTAAAAACTGTGGTGGAATGTGTGAACTATGTGCGAAAAAGTGCTCTGAGGCACCGCATCTTCAGTGAGCTGTGTAAAGAAATGGGCTCTGAATTTGAGGTACTTCTGCTCCATTCTAATATTCGGTGGTTATCCCGGGGACAGGTGCTGAATCGTGTTTTTGCCATGCGTGTGGAATTAGCCCTGTTTTTGCAAGAGCACCAACACTGCCATGCAGATTGCTTCAAAAATCCTGAGTTCATTCTCATTTTAGCGTACATGGCTGATATATTCGCAGCTCTCAATCATCTCAATCAGCAGATGCAGGGTGGTGGAGTCAATATGGAAGCGGAAGAACACCTGAAGGCTTTTCAAAAAAAGCTACCGTTATGGAAACGACGAACAGAGAACAATAACTTCGCAAACTTCCCGCTTCTGGACGACTGTGCAAGTAAGATCGAAGATGTGTCTGGAATCGGAGATATTTCTGTATCCACGGAACTGAAGCAAACAATTGCCACGCACTTAGATGAGCTTGCAAAGTCTCTCGACGGATATTTCCCTACAAGAGAGTCATATCCAGCATGGGTGAGACAGCCGTTCACGTTTGCTGTTGAAACAGCAGATGTCAATGATGAATTCCTCGACGAAATCATTGAAATTCAGCAGAGCCAGGTTCAACAGCAACTCTTCAGAACAACAACGCTCTCAACGTTTTGGTGTCGACAAATGAACAAGTATCCAGTTATTGCTAAGAAAGCCCTGGATTTTTTTATACCATTTGTTACAACATATCTTTGTGAGCAATCCTTTTCGAGGATGCTGGACATAAAAACGAAGAAAAGGAACAGACTTTGCTGTGAAAATGACATGAGAGTGGCACTTGCCAAGGTGAAGCCACGCATATCTGAACTGATCTCTCAAAGGCAACAGCAGAAGTCACATTGATTTCCAGGTATGTAATTTGTTGTGAGTTTATGCATTGTGTTGGTTTTATTCTTTGAACAAGGTAATGTTCATGCACGGCTCATTTTGTGTACCAGTAAAAAACATATCTATGTCTTGAATTTGAAAAAAATCACATTTTATTTTTCACTAAAGAGGGGTTCGGTGAATGCGCATATGAAACTGGTGGGGTTCGGTACCTCCAACAAGGTTAAGAACCACTGAACTAGAGTATTGAACCACACGTGTTTTGACGACGAATCAGTGGCATGGAGAGCACAGATCGTGCAGTGTAAGGCCACGCTTCGCATTGAACAACCATTACAGTCATGGCTCTGTGGTTTATTGAAGTGTACAGCATAAGTGTGTTGGGGTCAGTGCACCTCGAAGTGCATTCCTTTCAATTCTCGACATTCACTGGTGCTCAATGCATGCTCATTGGCCACCTATAGGCACTGCGGTAGTATCAGCACTCCAGACAATGCAACTCCCGTCATTTCAACTGTGTGTCGAGTACACCACGAATCCCGTTCAGGGCAGGCCTGGCCACGATCTCAGAGAGAACTAGATTGCTCCGAAGTGAATTAGATCATGTGGATGAGAATCTCCCGAAATCACACCTAACATTGACAGAAAAAAACGGGATTCGTTTGGCATTGGGAGATGTGACAGTGGCGGATGTCAGTGTGGAGGAGATCGGTGCTACCTTGGAGTCACAGCATCTTTTCAGAAATATGAGCGACTCGACCTTCGGCTCGCCAATTTTACATTAACAGGTGAACATTTGTTCACACCAACATAGCCACCTCGACGTGGCGGCGGCTCTGCGAACCTACATTAACATGCTAATCTCTCACATTAACATGCTAATCTCTCACAGTGACATGCCAATCTCTCACATTAACATGCTAATCTCTCACATTAACATGCTAATCTCTCACAGTAACATGCCAATCTCTCACATTAACATGCTAATCTCTCACATTAACATAGCCACCTCCACGCCCTCTCCCATCTTACATTAACATGCCAATCTCTCACATTAACATGCTAATTTCTCACAGTAACATGCCAATCTCTCACATTAACATGCTAATCTCTCACATTAACATGCCAATCTCTTACATTAACATGCTAATCTCTCACATTAACATAGCCACCTCCACGCCCTCTCCGATCTTACATTAACATGCCAATCTCTCACATCAACATGCTAATCTCTCACAGTAACATGCCAATCTCTCACATTAACATGCTAATCTCTTACATTAACATAGCCACCTCCACGCCCTCTCCGATCTTACATTAACATGCGAATCTCTCACATTAACATGCGAATCTCTCACATTAACATAGCCACCGCCACGCCCTCTCCGATCTTACATTAACATGCGAATCTCTCACATTAACATGCTAATCTCTCACATTAACACACACATTTCTCACATTAACATTACTAGCCCCGCCCACTTATTTTATGACCCTTGGGCTACGCCCATTTTAAACCTTGTGTTGTGATCGAAACGTCGTGTTTTTGTTTATTTTATTTTTATTAAATTGAACCTGTCTACGTGACTTTACCGAAAGACTCAAAGAATATGAATTCCTACAGTCACGAAAGTTTTAAGTCAAGATTTATATATCTATGTAGTTTCTACTAATAGACTTGACTGATGTAAATTGAAATGTGGACTGATGGTATTTGAATGGCTGCGACAGAGCTTCGGGTTAGAAAACGCCGCACTCGAAAAAGATTGATAAAACTTCAGTTCATTAACAATTTTATATAAACAAAAACAATGTATCGTGTTGTGGCCGAAACGTCGTGAGAATATTATTGTGTTATTTTATTTGATCAATTTATTATTTTATTCTCATTCTACGTGACTTTACCGAAAGAACCAAAGAATATGAATCCTTGCAGTCACGAAAGCTTTAAATAGAAGTCGACATGGTGTTTCTAACTTGTGTGTGTGTTCTTTAATCCAAGTGTTATTGTTCCCTAGTCTTTGTGCAGTTCAAAGCATGCGCCTCTCCCATGTTTCTTTGCGAAATCTTCACCACGTGGTCTATGTGAATGAAACTCAAACAATGAGACAATGGGACTTCTGTTGACATGTATGTTAAAATATGCATGCGTGCTATAATCCAACATAAACTACTTTAGTTGCGGTCAAAAGTACGTCTCGCCACTTTCATTGATATTTATATATAACTTCTGAAACAAATTGCTGGGTATCGGTGTTGATCGAACCATTCGGTTTTCATCGTCTGAACAAGTACCTTGCGCAATACAAACAAATGCTTTCAGCGGCCTCATTTAAAGAGCCGTTGCCATTCATTACCATCACCACGTGTTGACCGAGGAAGGAAGGAATGAATGAACTCCGCGGGTGGTACGTTTGTATGCATGCACGTGCGTTTCGCAAAAGGTCCTAATTGCGGATATCAAGGTAAAGTTGCAGCCCTGCAATGGCTTGCTTACGCCACTGCTGGCGGGAAGTGTCTCCACTAGAGGGAGCCAAACACCCTCGAGACTCGAGAGAGCTCCCTCTCAAGGGGTATTTGGCCTACTCTTCCATGCGGGCCACACGTCTTGGAAGACAGATGGCAGAAACCCAAACTACAGCAACCACATGCAACCTACCGATCAACAAACTGGCAGAGAGAGGCATGTATACTGCTGGGTGCTCCACTCAAACGAAGAGTTGTGCAGAAAGTATTCCTGTTAACAACCTCATGCCAGTGATGTCATTTACACATTACCACGGCGGGCCCAGTTTTCGAGATAGATCGACCACTGTTGACGGCCCACAATGTGGTAGTAATTCTATCGACCCCAGAGGGATGAATGATAGGCCGAGTCGATCCCTGATCGGGACTTACAATTTCTCGAGTGTGCCTTTAAGAGTTTTATAAATCAAACAATCTATCATACGCACATTGTTGCGTTCTATACCCTGTAACATTGACTTTTATTAGCTACAAAGACGCACTACTACAGTAACAAATTACATCACTAACATCTCAAAATACGCCTACCTGTGTACAAGCATATGCTGTGCACTATTTGATGGGGTTTTAATGCAATTAAAGTGGTTGGGGGGGGGGGTTTGTTTGTTAAACCAACTGTGGGCCAGCTTAGTCGTTCCCATGGTGACCCATAAACATCGGGGAAATAAATAAGTGGCATTGAGGTGGCTGTAGACACATCCCCGTGGCAGAGGCTGCTGGGAGATACTTGGAATCCTTTGGGACAAACCTCTCATCAGACAGACCCAGTGCAAGTGTGTCAGGACAATTAAACTCATAATTGTCCAAATCATAACCGTGGCTCAGTGTCCACACTCAGGGCCCTCCTGCTGCAGATTCCTGGCTCTGTCAGATGTGCCGCTGGGGTTGTACAACTGTGGACACGGTGAGAATGTACGCGTTCGAGAAATCGGAACACATCACGGGCATTCACCTTGTTGTATGCAAGTAGAATTGTGTCACGTGTGTGTAATTATGTTACACAGTACTGTTATTTATGTGTATTGGTGTTTACACATTGGTATGGGTAAATACCAATACACACGCAACAATACTGTGAATTGGTGCTTAGACATTGGTATGTCTTGTATTATACAATGCGTGTTTATATGTACACAGTAGTGTGTTGTGTATAAGTGTATACTGGTGTGTACACAACACAATACTTGTGTGTGCACTAGAATGCGCACAGGATAATCCTGCATGTGTGTATTGGTATGCGCAAAGGATTGGGAATGTTTGTGGGTACATTAAGTTTGTTGTAGTGTAGGGTTCTGTATGAGTGTCGGCATGTGCACCTAGTTGTGTTATACGTGTACCGGTATGTGTATTGGTATGTACATCACATTAAAAATACATTGTACTAATGAATACGTTCAATTTCAGTTGACGACACATGATACAGTATTTCACCAGTCTGTTATATGGTAGTATATGTTTTTTTGTTTTATCACAGTTGTATGGACAACACGTAAAAAACATTATTGACATTGGCGTGTGTGTTGTAAATGAACTTTGTGCACATATGCTGCAGTTCTGTAGCTGTGTGTATGCACACTGCTGGAATGTACACAGTGGTTTGTATCTACTATATACACTTTAAATACCTGTGATGTTCGTGTTAAAGCAGTTGGTGAAACATTCGTGTAAAGGGTACTTTTATGACAACCACAATGCCTGATTAATATTGCATTGTTGAAAGTTGTTGCTTACACTGTGCTTGTATTAAATAAAGTATACAACTATTTAGCATTACATTACTATACGTCAGTACTGAAATACCTTTCCGTACTGTGTAAATAGTATTATATTTGTCTAACGCATTACACTGTGTACATGTAAAAAAACTAAGGACTGTCATAAACATTATATATAGCTTTGGTGTAACAGTGTAAAAACAAGGTTATAACTGATGTGACTGATCCATGGGAGTATAGCATGTACAGCACAACCACATTCGAGCGCTGTAATATACGAACTCCGGTTTAACATCACAGAACAAACCTACGTACCAACATGCTTATCTATTCATAACACATGTCATGTAGTAACTGTAGGTGCAGTTACATTTTTCTCGAATCTGTCATTTAATGGGGCTGGTGGCTTGACCACCATGCGTTCAACATTGAGCAGTACAAATGATCTACATCCGTTCACGCTGAGGGTCCCTGCGGACTCTTGAGTGGCATTTGGGGCACTCCTCCACGAGACGCAACGGGGTCAAGAGAGGAACGATTCTTTGGCGAAATGTAAACACACCCCGGTTTACAGCTGCAGTGTCACGTATGTCTTTACCCAAGCGGTCCACATTTAAAATAGATATTTCCAATGTATCACGGCTGCACTAATTGCACACCTTCAGTCAGTGTCCCGTACAATAAAGAAATGAGCGTTATAAGAAACAAAGTCTTGAACTCAATGTTGCTGTGGGTAAAGGATATCGACTTACCCTGCCAAGAGGTTGCAAGTAAAAATTCCAGTGGACTCAGCCAGTCGATCACCCTCTTGCTGTCGATCAAATGAGTGCAGTTAAATCACTTGGTAGTACCCAAGTCAATGAAATACTGCAGTACGGTAGTTGACATGTGCAGTGACCGGCTCTCACCACAAACGTCGAGTTTTCATCATTGCCTCATAGCCACCAATTCAGTTGACCATGGCCCAGCACTCGTTTTGAGCATGGAGACACTTTGGCACCTGCATGGGGTCTACTAATACGTATATATATGTGTGTTCTTCCAACTGAGACTACAGTACATTGAATCATACTTGTGTTGGAACAATTCCTAGAATGTGTTCACATTCAATGGTTATGGATCGTTCTCCAAGTTGTAATTTTAGTTCACACATTAACTCACACAAACTTGACTTTTTAAAACTTTGTTGCTTTGTCCTCTCCTGATGCCCAATCCCAGACGTTCATGTGCAAATGGTGTGGAACGCGCTACTGCGGTGCATGCGGCCGTGGAGACTTCACGGGCTGCATGAGCGAGCCTGGTCGCTGTAGGAAATGCTTTCAGGTGTGGAATACATGAACGTAAAACTAAACTTTTTTTTTTTACCAGGTAAGGCCCACTGAGCTATATAGCTCTTTAATCAGAAGGGACCTGGCTATAACAAATGATAGCTCAACGAAGTGGCTTATCGTGTGGAAATGTAGAGCATCCAAATGCTCTACATGCATGTTCGTAAATGTGGATGGAAAGACCGGAGGCCCCGGAGAAAAATGCAGGCGACCACGGGGAGAACATGCAAACTCAAAATATACAGCAGTCGTCAGGGTTGGGATTGAACCCACGACGTCCTGTATACCAGGCGAGGCAGTTAACATCTCACCACCGTGGCATGGACAGTGAGAACACAGTACTTACACATTACTCGACATCCACAACACATGCACAATACTTTATTTGCTTGATACGATAGTTCACATACTACGCTACGTGTTCAATTAAACTGTAATTGTTTAACTGTCCCAAAATAACAAGTCCTAGGTTTCATATTACAAAGACGTCATATTATATCGCAATGGACTCTCACCAGGTTATTCATTTGTTTTATTTACCCATGATAGTCTCAGTAATTCTCCAGATCTTTTCTACTGTAATACTGTAGTATACAATTATAAAGGTACATATTTGAAAAAAAAATCACCAATTAATGTTTTACATAAAACGAATATTTTCGCCTGTCAGAGAAAACTCGACGGCCCAGACAAACCCCATAAATACAAAGAGACAACACGAAAACACATACAGGTTGACAACAAACGTCTCCCGTCTTCTCAAAGCAAATTACATTACTGTAAATTTCGATTTAAAGCTTTCGTGACTGCAAGGATTCATCTTCTTTGGTTCTTTCGGTAAAGTCACGTAGAATGAGAATAAAATAATAAATTGATAAAATAACACAATAATATTCTCACGACGTTTCGGCCACAACAAAAGCGGCCTTCATCAGGTGAAGGGACGAGACTGTCTGGTAGGACAGCGCTGGAGCACTCCAGCGCTGTCCTACCAGACAGTGGTACCAGGGACAGCGCTGGAGCACTCCAGCGCTGTTCTACCAGACAGTCTCGTCCCTTCACCTGATGAAGGCCGCTTGTGTTGTGGCCGAAACGTCGTGAGAATATTATTGTGTTATTTTATTTTATCAATTTATTATTTTATTCTCATTCTACGTGACTTTACCGAAAGAACCAAAGTACATTACTGTAGTTGGGGGGCTCTGGCAAATTCCATCTCTGCACGCACGGTCCACTAAGACCCTGCCTCCAAATGGCTGGATGACAGCCCCCCCAAACCCCCCCCGTATCATTATTATCTCTGTCTAAAGGTTTTTACGTTGAGCTCCGGAGATGGGGTCGTTTTGCGCGTGATGCAGAAGGGCTGCCAGGGCCGCCGGGTGGAGTACGCGCCTCCTCCTCCTCCCAAGGAAAAGGCGGACGGGACGAAGGGTCGTGGAGGCACGGCGAGAGGCTCCGGGAGCAAAGCGTCCAGCTCGCGCGGCAAGGCCACTCGCTCTGCCAGCAGATCGGCGCGTTCAGGTGGAAAGAAGGAATCCCGATCCGGCAGCAAGGGAGCGCGCTCCTCTGGAAAGTCGTCAAAGACCGGGAAGAAAGCCAAGAAGGGTGGCAAAAAGAAGAAGAAGAAGTGAACAGCGCAAAAAAAACCCCGTCATGAATTACTGCTGAATGCCATCGAACACAATTGCAGCGTGTAACAATGCGAAACACGATCAAAATGAAAATGTGGCCATCTTTAGATAACGCTTCACTTTTACACCTGTTGATTTTGCTGTTTCTTCGATGTTTACTTTTTATGTAGCATATGAACAAGCCACAAAGTTATTTACTTTAAAAAAATGTAATTGCGTTTATGTGTAAAGTTGAAAAGATAAACATTTATTATTTCAGACCTCATATTGTTTGATATTTTGAGTGCTACGATTTTATTAAAATTACGGGATGTTTGTCTTCAAACGTATGCACCGGTGTTTTCTTATTACAGTACTGTATTGTGTTAGCAATGTATGTGTCCAAGCAGTCACAATCCTGTCCGTGTATTGCCAATGCTGTATGTAACAATGGGTGTATAAATATTGACTTCAAGCTTTCGTTACTGCAGGAATTCATATTCTCTGGGTCTTTTGGGGAAGCCACGTAAATAGAAAAAATATCACGACGTTTTCGATCGCAACACAAGCAACCGTCATCAGGTGAAAAAAATATAGCGGGAGAGCTGCTGTGGCAGGGAAAAAAATAATTCCTGCCTCAGCAGCTCTTGAGTCATGAAGCTCTCCTGCTATAATTCCTGCCTCAGTAGCTCTTGAGTCATGAAGCTCTCCTGCTATAATTCCTGCCTCAGTAGCTCTTGAGTCATGAAGCTCTCCTGCTATAATTCCTGTCTCAGTAGTTCTTGAGTCATGAAGCTCTCCTGCTATAATTCCTGTCTCAGTAGCTCTTGAGTCATGAAGCTCTCCTGCTATAACTCCTGCCCCAGTAGCTCTTGAGTGATGAAGCTCTCCTGCTATAATTCCTGCCTCAGTAGTTCTTGATTCATGAAGCTCTCCTGCTATAATTCCTGTCTCAGTAGATCTTGAGTCATGAAGCTCTCCTGCTATAACTCCTGCCCCAGTAGCTCTTGAGTCATGAAGCTCTCCCGCTATAATTCCTGTCTCAGTAGCTCTTGAGTCATGAAGCTCTCCTGCTATAATTCCTGTCTCAGTAGCTCTTGAGTCATGAAGCTCTCCTGCTATAACTCCTGCCTCAGTAGATCTTGAGTCATGAAGCTCTCCTGCTATAATTCCTGCCTCAGTAGATCTTGAGTCATGCAGCTCTCCTGCTATAATTCCTGTCTCAGTAGATCTTGAGTCATGCAGCTCTCCTGCTATAACTCCTGCCCCAGTAGCTCTTGAGTCATGAAGCTCTCCCGCTATAACTCCTGTCTCAGTAGCTCTTGAGTCATGAAGCTCTCCTGCTATAATTCCTGCCTCAGTAGATCTTGAGTCATGAAGCTCTCCTGCTATAATTCCTGCCTCAGTAGATCTTGAGTCATGAAGCTCTCCTGCTATAATTCCTGCCTCAGCAGCTCTCCCGCTATACTTTCTCACCTGATGACAATTGCTTGTGTTGCGATCGAAAACGTCGTGATATTTTAAAAATTACTTTTCTATCTACGTGGCTTTACCGAAAGACCCCAAGAAAATGGGTGTGTATCCTCTTTACTGGGGGTGCCGTGAATGACCGGCTCTTCTCTGGTGGCAATTCACTCATAAAACTTGGTAAAATTAAATCGCGCTGAAGCTTTCATGTTGATTTAAGTGCAGTTATTGGTTCTCCCCAGTACCTCTGTCTCCAATGTTGTGTTCCTGTCTCCATGTCTCACTTCCTCATGCATTTTCCACGTCTCCTTGTCCCCGTGTCCCGGCATCCTATCTCTCTGGATGAGGGCCACTCAGTAATGCCTTTCGATTTTTTTTTCCCCAGCCAAGTTTCGTTGCAAAAACATGGAACTTAAACAGGAAACTTTGTACATCATCTGTGAACACAAAGTTACGAGAACGTTGGCACATTTGTTTTTGTTATTTCTAAGAAAATATACATCACTCAAGTGGTAGTTTACGCGTTTGGTTCCATGTTGGGCAGCAAGGTGGCACAGTAGTAATGCTTGTGTCTCAGAGCAAGAAAATCCTGGGTTCGATTCCCAACTCTTCATTGGTTGGTAATTGTCTGGCATTGCTTCCCATTGACAGGATTTGACTCATGCACGCATAACGCTTCCTTATTCCACGGACGAATTATATCGTGCCACAGTGCAAGGGTGGTCTGCTCTGGGTACAACCACGGCCTGTGATCTTAGCCGGGCTTGGCTTTTCCGCTCGGGGTGCTTCAAGCAAGCCATGTATGTAGGTCTTCATCGGATGTTTGGCAGGGGACGCAGCAACGCACAAATACTTTTGTTTTTTATCAAAGTCTTAGCAAATTGATTTTTTTAGTCGTAATAAGGAGGAACTTTACTAGACATCCGCGAAAAATAGTTGTATAGCTCAAGGCCGTAATTATATTGGGAGGGACACATCTCCCCCAGTATTAAAATATGCTCAAAATGCCCCCCCCCCCCAATATATTGCTATAAAATGTATTTATTTATATGATTGTGGTTATGGTTGTACATTATTAATCCCTAATCTCTGCGATTACATACAATGAAACAAGAACAAGTTGAAAATAAAAAACAGAGCAATGTAATACAATACACTATTAGACATTGTAATAAATACAAAGTCCATCCTATGTGTGAGTGAATTTTTTTATATTTTAGGAAGGAAATTCGTTTTCAAATCTAGATTTATTTTTTCTGGGGAGGTGGGGGGGGGTACCCCCAGACCCCCTGGAAGATTTTGTCCCCCCCCCAATGTTAACTCCATGGCTACGGCCTTGGTATAGCTCATCAGGATTCCTCCAGCATAAATAAATATTCTGATTGGAGCGACGGGAGAGAGAGAGAGAGGAGCTAAGTGGTCCTGAAGAAGGAGCGCAGATCCAGTGGTTTACCACATGGTCCATAGTTTGGGTTGCATGGCCACATTCGCTCTGTGGCTTGTCTTTACTTTTCCATTTTTGAAGGAGATATGCGCATCGGTCTGTTGACATTGTTATGCGGTTGATGGTTACACCAGTGTCTTCGAGGAGGAATGTCAAAGCCAGGAGGTGAGATGCTTATTCTGAACGCCCACCTTGTTCCACATTCCGCGAGCGTTCTTCAGCATCTGGATGAGATTCTGGGGTGGTGACAGAGCGGTCCCAGAAGGAGGTCTGGCACTTTAATCGGCAAATTATTGTTATGATAATTTGTATACTGTTAGCTTGTGCTGACTCAACGCTGTTGAAATGATTCACTTCCAGAAGGCGCTGGGGCCGATGAGTTACGTAAAAAAAATGCTTTAAAAATGTCACATGGCGATTAATAAATACGAATAAGACGTCTTATATATTTTGTTATATTTTGTTATTTATATCCTCTACTGGGACGCTATTAAATGATGACTGCACACATATTGACACTGATCGTCTGTCACGTTGCCAAAGTGTCGAGTGCCTATGACGTCATACCCACCCCCAAAGACAAGGGCCCCTCGTGTAGACTTAACAGACTGTAGGGGCAAGTGCTGTTTGCGAGCACCTATGAAGGCCGGCACGGCACACGAGGGAGGTGGGTGTCCAACACCACGCCCGGCCGCCTTTGTCTCCCCAGTGGCGATTTTTATACACCGCGCCAGGTACTCATTTGAGGCTAAGTCGACCTAGGGGAGGGCCCAGGACCGGTTCAGATTATCGTCACTGGTGTTGGTGGCCGTGATCAAGAATCGAACTCGGGTTGCCGGGTTTCTAACGCAGGGCGCTAACCGCTGCGCCACCGCTCTCTTCCTACCAACACGTGTTTCCTTGTGCCACTTCTATCAAGCGTATCAATTTCGAAAGCACGTGCTGGCATAGCTCGCTTGCCATTGGCCTAATTCGTCAGTACGGTCTACGGAATCTAACTCCTCCATGCTATATATACTGCGCGGTGTGGCATCAGCCACTCTTCGCTAACTGCGGTCCGGTCGAGTGTGGTGGAAGCGTGTAGCTCTGTAAGTACAGTACATGTTTACCTACTGCTTATCTTTTAATGTATCGATTGTACCATCTTGTTGTTATAGAGTTGTTGTTGCTGCGTGTGCAACGTCGTATTATCGTAATAAGTTACTCTACCGCACCTGTGTAATGTGGTTATACAGAGTAGTTACTGGTGGCCTATGTCTCATCACAGTACCGGCGGCTCGGTACCGCCTTGTTATATCTTAGGGGTCGTGTTCAGATGTTTTGTCAGTCAATCGTTCCTCAGTGGTCAATAAAATTAGTCTTTGTGGGAAAATCAGCAGTGCGATGTGGGTAGACTGGGCACCGCCCTGGGAATATGGAATGCTCACCACGAATTTGAGCAGATGCACTTTGGCTTGTGTTGAATAACGCCATTCTGCGCTGTGATCAGTGGCGAGTGGTGTCTGAAGCGGCACTGACCAGCGTAGTGAAGTATAGTCAAAACAACGTCCGTAACTGACGTAACGTGGGGAAGTCTTCATCCAGCAGTGGATTGACAGAGGACTGTATGTTATTGTCCTAGGTACAGCAGTGCGCATGATCGTACGTGTGTGTGTGTAGTGAGTGTAAATACGCTTCTGGATGAAGGCCTCTGGAATGATTGATCATGCTGATGACAGCTAACACAAGATAGCCTTGTACGGCATGCCCCAGTATATCACTCCTGCGTGTTTTATTCCATGCAGAATGCGCTGCTCAAAGGGTGCACAGTACGTACTATATTTGAAGAACAGTAATTTAAAAGAGGTGTGGGAGCCACTTATGTAATCCTCTGGTCCAGACAGACTGACGAAATATCGCAGGGTTACATGTTAGTGGGAGGTCAGCAGTGGTTGTCCTATTGCTAGGCTGGGCCCTATCACAGATGTATCTAATTCTCTCCACTGGCTCGGGTGCCAGTGATTATTTGAACGGAGTTTGACCCTTTGACATTTTGCCACAGGACCACCGAGGCCAACGAGAGGACGACGGGGAGACGCGTGTGTTTTGCAAGGAGGACCGAACCATGCCGAGCTTGGCTTCGACTCGCCGCTTTCTGCTGCTCTACGGCACGGAGATCGGCACGGCCAAGGCCATCGCACAGGACTTGTGCGCCCAGGCGGAGCGGTTCGGTCTCGACGCGGACCTGCACTGCCTCAGCAAGACGCACGACGAGGTGAGGACCCTGGGGCCGGGGGAGTGTTGAGAGTGGAGGACCTTTTTTTTTTAAAAGAGCATAGAGCATAGGGCAGCCGACTTTGGAAGGTACCGTAGAACCGGCGAACTCCAGGAATAAGTTGCCATTTCCCCAAAAAAGTCCTCTGTTATATATTTTTTTATGTTTCCCTGCTTTCTGCTGGTGGAATTGTGGCTGCATTACTCGGCTCACAATCAAAAGTTTGCAAATTGATATCCCATTTAGGCCATCCACTCTCCCCTCCTTGCTAACGACACTTGCCTCGGCGGCCTAAAAGGCAAAACGAAGGAACCATTAGTGCATATGTGCATACGTGTGCGCGTGTATGTGCATAGGTGTGCGCGTGTATGTGCTTGTCTGTGTCTGGCAGTTTGACCTGGATACCGAGCGAGACCCTGTGGTGATCATTGTGTCAACGACCGGTGATGGGGATCCCCCGGAAAAGGCGATAAAGTTTGTCCGCTACATCAATCAGAAATCCCTCCTCGAAAACCATTTCCAGCACCTGCGCTATGCACTGCTCGGTAAAATTTCACATCTCACCGTGCGCATGTGTAATCCATCTTTTTTCATTTTTTACCTTGAAACAACAGGGCAATGGACACCGTTTATTTATTTATTTTGCTTGACTAGTATTAAATCGAAAATGAAGCTACTTCCCACTGAAAGGAGCAACGAGGCAGTGTGACTACATTGGCCTCAGCGAGTGTTAAAAATTTAACTTTCTCTTGACTTCCCATCTCTCTCTCTACATTACAATGCACTTATTTATTGACTGGAGGGATGATGATCTGAGTTGACCCACATTGGTGATTTTTGTTGTTATCAGTGATTGTAGAATTGTAAATATTTCTTAGTATACAGCAGTAACATTTTCTTTGGTTCTTTCGGTAAAGTCACGTAGAATGAGAATAAAATAATACATTGATAAAATAAAATAACACAATAATATTCTCACGACGTTTCGGCCACAACACAAGCGGCCTTCATCAGGTGAAGGGGGCGAGACACTCCAGCGCTGTCCTACCAGACAGTCTCGCCCCCTTCACCTGATGAAGGCCGCTTGTGTTGTGGCCGAAACGTCGTGAGAATATTATTGTGTTATTTTATTTTATCAATTTATTATTTTATTCTCATTCTACGTGACTTTACCGAAAGAACCAAAGAAGATGAATCATTGCAGTCACGAAAGCTTTAAATCGAAATTTAGCAGTAACATTGTTTAATGGTGATGGTCTACAGAGCTTATACTTGAGCATCGAATGTTACTATTAATTTTTTATTCATATAAGTTTCATATTGTGTATTACAATATAGGAAATTTGGAGCTTAATTTCGCACAATACATGAAAATTGTAGCCAGCCCATTATATTAAATGGAGGTCATGGCTAATCCAAGGTTGTTTTAGACTGAGGTTTGATTTTACAGGGAAAATAAGTTGCTTGAATAACAGATGTTATTTGTCAATTGATTCAAATTTAGCAGCCACCACACTACAGAGAGAAGCATAGGTTAAACTCTTGCTTAAAGTCAGTCATCGTGGTTTATAGAGAGTTGACTGTCAGCTGTTTTTTTTTTTCTGCAGGACTGGGCGACACGAACTACACAAACTTCTGTAACTGTGGGCGGACGATGGATCGCAGGCTGGCAGAGCTGGGAGCGCAGCGCTTCTACCAAACGGGGCATGCTGATGATGCAGTGGGGTACGCCTTTTTACAAGCACACCGATATGGACTTTTAAATGTAAATCACCAACATCTCAACCACCAATGCCTTCATCTTCAGTATTGACCACTTTCAGATGCACTTTTATGGCCATCTGGAATGCTCTCCCTTCTGATATTAGGATGCCACTGGAGCTATGCACTTTAAAATCTAAACGGCTTTTTTCGTTTTAGTTTGTTGTCCTCCCACCTCCAATTAACATGATTGGCAACGTACAATACGAAAGAAGTTCAACATACATACTATAGTGTCATTGTTATAAACACAATCTTCATCACCACCATCTCCAACCTTTCATTCATACACTATCTGTCAATTTTGGCACAGAAATTTCCAGAAGCTCAGCAAGTGTGCTGCTTTACAAATTTGGACATTTATGGTCGGGACATTGTATGTTAAATGCAACTAAATTTGCTGATATCATTTTCAGGCATTCACTTAATTATTATAATGAGTCATTGTTTTCAATATGTTATCATGGTCCTGAATGAAACTAGTCCTTTATAAGAAAATTATTTGGGGTTATTTTAATGCTTGGAAAATACGGCCAACTTTTTTTATTATCTTCAGAAAAAAACATTGGTTTTGATTATATGACTGTAATTTAGCATCTTAACTACTTGATTACATTGGCCATAACTTATTTCGGATACAATATCTATCAGCAGAGCTTAAACAGTTTGGTTGTAGGTTTATCCAGAAATCTAAATTTCAGGCTTAAATCATCGTACAATATAACCGTTTTTATAATAGCTGTATATTTTCTCTGCTGGATATGCCATATATCTTTGAACTTGGCATGGAGCTAATTTGCATGGAGGTGACATTCTGGAAGTTTCAGCTGGGAATTATGAAATCATGACATCTGCTGATAATTGAACATTGTAAACTGCCAATTCATAATTCTAGAGAGGAGGATATTATGTATATACATATAGCATCTTAACCCAATTCCAAAATAAGATAGTTAGCCATGGCATAGAATTAGAAGTTGTTTCATTTTAACTGCCCATGGACAACTTTCTTTCCCAGTGCCTCTTGGTTTTGTCCTTTTAAAGTTTTGTTTAGGCCAAACAACATGTGTTTCTTTTGTTCTCTGTAGAGGATGATTGCCTTAGATCTTGTGATTGTGCAAGATTCTTAAACATTTTGTTCAGACACTTGATGTCGTAAGACACCGTGCCTCTTGGCTGCGATAAGATCATATTGAACTATACCAGAATTGCCATCCATATCGATACTTCATTGAAGATAATTTGTGCATGCTCAAACAGTAAAGTATATATTTATCTCTTAATTAATTCCCACTGGCTCAAGGCTACTAATATAAATGAGATCACTTAATGCTCACTTAATCAGGGAGACACTTTGTCTTTTAGTTCATATACACTCAGGTGGGTCATGTTTTGAGATGGCTTGACTCTCAATTAACAAGTTGTGAGTTTTAAGTCCTGTTCAAGAGACGACTTCACCACCATCATAATAGAATGAGTACCACTGTAGAAAGTCACCAGTGGGCATTCTATGAATGTACTGGCTTCACCATGAGAATACGGATTTCCTCCCTCTGGCTAAGGGCCAACATTGGAGATGGGCACCACCCAATGTTGGCCTGAGAGTGCAGGCACTTGAATCTTGATATGGTGCATTGTGTATGCGGTATGTATGATAACGCGCATTACTGTCTTGCAGCACCGAATTGGTGGCAGAGCCGTGGGTGGAGGGGCTCTGGGAGGCCCTTGTGTCGGAGTGTAAGCAAGAAGGGGGCGGCACGAGTCGGGTGGGCGAGCGTGTCGCAGATGTCTCGCCACCTCGGGAGCGCGATCAAGAGCACGGAGACGCAGGGAAGCAGATCTCAGAGTCGACAGAGAAGACTTTGGATCAGACACAGGAAGATAAATCATCTGATCTTGGACCAAAGTTTGATGGCAGTGAAGCGCAAAATGCAAAAGGAGATGCGGAATATCAAGCTAACGGCAGTAATACAGTCGCCATGCTAAGTAATGGATCGTTGTCCAGCCCTGTTAGCCATGTGAATGCAAATCTTGGACGAAACAATATTTCTACAGAGAGGCAGCCGAGCGATTTTGCAGAGAATATCTCTTCTTTGGCCAATGGACTTTTGGCAGTGCACGTCAGTAGTAACCACGAGGCTAGATGTACGGAAGGTCCTGAAGTTGAGGTTCAGAGTAGTGACTACATAGTACAGGATTTGGCGATCCAAGCTGCACTGCCTCCACCTGTACCTCCTGCCTCTAGCCTCTCCCCATCTGCATTTGTTCCCACACCTGACCGTCAAGACCCAGTCACTAGCACGCCTCTGGTGGAGCCATCCACAAATTCCTCTCCAACGCCGGGCTCCACCGCACAGCCCGAGAAGCCCCTCGTGCCTTCGCTGACTGTGTCTGTGCCTCCACTCTCTGAAGCGACCCTCCAGGTGCCCTCATTGCCAGAGCCGTACCTGCAGCTGCAGTTTGATCCCAGCAGACCCGGTGTAAGAATGCACATTTTCCGCTCTCTTGCTCATGTGTTGGGCCTTGTATCATTGTGACAATGCTAATAGCACTGACATTTGGACATCAGTTCTATTTTTACTTTTGAGAAAGCGAGTGCAGCAGCTGCTACGTTGCAATGTATTGTTGCATTGTAACTGGTATTAGACCCACAAAGGTTTTTTTTCGGGGGGGAAATTCACCAGTGTTAATATATAATATCTACAGCTGATAACTTAAATGATTGCCACCCTTATCACTTCATGGAGGTTATATAAGTGTTATGTAAATAATAAAAAATAATTGTAATTTATAAAGAGCCCTTAAACGATCTATCAGGACATGGTAAACTATATGGGATCTGCTGCACTAATGTTGTCCCCTAAAAGTGACATTATTTTACAGCTGACATTTGGCTTGGATGTTACATCTTTGAAATGGAGTGGCAATATTCGGATGCAGTGCACATATGTGCAATCTGCAGGGCTTGCAAAGTATTGTGGGGCTTTGCCATGATGCTGTGAACCACAAGCCATGTACATCTCAACGTGTAACATTTGACAGAAGTAGCTATCTTAGTTACATAAAGTTAATGTCACACAGGAATTTGTTGAACGAATGGGGCATCACTTTATCCTTCTGGCCCCGAGCCTGTTGTGGAAATTTCACATCGCTTTGGCAGGGGCCAGTGTCTCCAGAGGATCATTTTTTTTCACTGCACGTACAAAAGGGTACTCCTTTTATTTGACCTTGGATAATTGACGAGCCGAGTTGACATTTCTGTTGGGATTTAAACTCAATGTTTCCAATGTGATCCGGCCGTGCCAACCGTTGCGCCAGCATCCGCTGACCGTCGTGATTGCTGTCGACAGCATTGTGCTGACACGTGTTTCGTTCTGCTTGTTCTGCAGGTGCCTTGGCCAGTTCCGGCAGCTACCAGCCTCCCTCAGGCGGCCTCGGAGGTGTGCGAGGTCGCTGTGAGCGGGTGGAAGCAGCTGACCCGTGCTGATGCCGTCAAGACTGCATTGGAGCTGCAACTTGACGTCTCCGTGAGTTGGGGGCAAGGGACGTTCGTTCTTGTGCAGGCACGGACCCTCTTAGTACTGGGAACATCTGTGTTCTGTGGCCCAGTATTGGTACCCTACCTACTGTGATCCATCATTGAGGTGCTTTAAAGCTCAGAATTCAGGAAACTCTTTGTGCACACGTACTTATGTGTATGCTTGCGTGGGTATGTGTGCCTACGTGGTGAGTGGTAGTATATTAGTTAGCCAACATCAGGTCCTGAGCCTCCCTTATGTTCACTTGGCCTTCAATAAGTAAGAAAAGTACTCTTATATTACAGCGGCAAGAGTGCTGTTTGTTACTTGCCACTTGGCGTTGTGCTCTTTTGGCCTGTCTTTGGCAACCGTGATACGTATATTCAAAATATGTTTTGTACGCTGGCAGGCCGCGCCATTTGCACTGTGCCCCGGCGACGCGCTGGGCGTGCTGTGCCCCAACGGCGAGGCCGAGGTGGACGCTCTGCTGCGGCGGCTGGGCCTCGACGGGCAGGCCGACTGCACCCTCGAGCTGCGTGCCAAGCCCAACGCAAGGGGCCGCGGTAAAGCCGTCTACGAAGCCAGCCAAAGCTCCTCGCACTCTCGCTTACCTCTGTCGCTGTGCGGGTACAACGTGGCATGCCCAACTCTCTGGGAACTGAGGTATAGGCGGATATGTGAACATGTTTAGAAAACAAAAGTCAGGCCAGTCACCAACATAGGTTACATGATGAAAATAAAGGTCAAACTGCTTTAAGCACCTCCAATTAGCACGGTTGGCTATGTGCGGTGTGCTTTAGAAGTAGGTGGTTATTTGGTCAAGGTAGATATGCGACAGTTGGATATGTAATGTACTGTATTTTAAATTTAGTTTTTACATTATATAGTTTTTTGTTTGGTTTTTAATCTCAGTAGTGTCCGTTCAGGTAATCCTGTGGTCAGACTGCTCTATTCACATAAGGACCACTTGGAGGAAGTCGGCAGTAGTTTTTACATGGAGAATACATTCCAGCCACAGGAATGTGTATTTCTATCCCAAGCTCAGAATCACCATTGGAGACGGGCTCCACCCAAAGTTAATGACCTTTGAGTTTATGCGAGAGTAATTTTAACGTTGCAGTTTATGAAGTTTGTAGCGATTAGTCCGTGATGTTTGTTTAATTTGACCGATAACATAAATCTCTTTGAGTTGAACTTTTCACCGCCTCTCCAAATCCTCCCCCCCCCCCACTCTCTCAGCCTCCAAGGTGCCCGACTTCATCCCTGCCGGCTCCTCCCTTCGGTCTATCCTTACTCACGGCCTGGAAATCCGAGCCCTGCCAAAGAAGGTACATAGAGCCGCACTTCCGCACCGACTGACTCGGCTTTTCTCACACTGCTACCACTGGAGTCCGACCTCAAGAGTTCAGCAGCTTGAGTCGGTTCTCCACACAGGAAAATTTTGGGGGATCAATAATTAAAGTAATTCTCTGATACAAAGTGTTTGTTAAAAGGAATTGAGGTGTCATTGTGTCACGGTCAGTCCATTGCTTGATGAGGTGATCGCCACACTGTGGGTCGTGAGCATTATTTGACATTACCTCACCACGCTGCTCGGCATGGGCTGGTGAAGGTGATGACCACCTTGTTGCACAGCCCTGCTGCTGCATCTGGCATCCTGGCTTGCGTGGCGGTCGCCCATCGAAGCACAATCCAGGATCATCCTGTTTAGCTTCCAAGACTGACGAGATTGGGCACATTCCAGGTTATCTGATCACATGCATCATCATCATCATCGATACGATCAAGTAATAAGTATATGCGACTTAAAAACTTGCCAATTACAGGATTACTTTACGCTTGGAAAACCTTGAGTAATTAGTAATCAGAAACGAACGTTCAAGATGAATGCGTAACATTGCACACCCAGAAATCGGCTTTGACAACTGCGCTTTGCCCTTCCATTGAACTAAGACGCCGACGAGCGAATCGCTGAGCCTGAGGTGCGGCCCTTGGCCCCCTCTCTCTCTCTCCCCTCCCTCTCGTGCAGGCGATGGTCCGCGCACTGGCGGAGCACACGGAGGATGAGGCCGAGCGCCGCCGCCTGCTGGAGCTGTCCAGCCGCCAGGGCTCGGCCGACTACACGCACCTGCTGCGAGACGCCAGCCTCGGCCTGGCCGCCCTGCTGCACGCCTTCCCGTCCTGCCGGCCGCCCGCCAGCCTGCTCATTGGTACCCGCTCACACCGCTGCCTCTCTCCGGTGGCTGCTGCCGTCCCTCGCGTCGGCGCTAGTCTTCAACAGCCGCTATCATTCTTCACCGCCAATATTTGTATATGTATGTATCTTGAACTTCTTTTGTACCGTACGTAGCCAACCGTGATAATCGGAGGTGCCACCCTCATTAGAGGTGCCTATCTTAAATTTGCTGATGCCCTCCGACACCTGATGTCGCTCTCTTATAATTACTGCCACCCCCCCCCCATTACTGCCACCTGACCACCGTGTATAACTTTTGCTGCACTCACAAAACTCTTGATCCACAACTAAAACTGCTGTCATTCTACACAACTGCTGTCGCCCTTCTAAAACCGCTGTCACCTTGTAATAATTATTATAATTACAACTCTTTTAATCGCCATTGCTTTTCTGCAGCTATTACCTTTTTACAATCACTGCCATCCCAATGAAACTTTGTGCACTCCTTCAACCAATGCTGCTCTCTTGCAAACGCTCTCATTCTCATACAGTCACTGACACCTCCATACAATCACTTATGCCTTCCCGCGATTGCCATTGCCCTTCTACAACCATTGTAACCCACTTACAATCAATGTTGCCTCTGACCGCCTCTTTGTGTCGGTGCCCCGTGTGTGCAGAACACTTACCGCGTTTGCAACCCCGGGCCTATTCCATTGCCAGGTACGATGCACTTCACCTTGCAAGCGTTGTATTATCACTTGCTGTTAATCTCTGCAGGTTTTAAAAACCCTGATGCACGGAGTTGCGGGTGACCTGGAGAACGCTCATCAGGTGATGTTTATGGATCAAAACGTGTTCTGTTTCAATCGACAGAATGCAGAGATCTGCATGGTTCAGTAATGTTCCAAAACTTGTCCCTTCCAGCTGAATGCCTTTTGCCTCTTGCAGGAGCTTGAGTTTAGTGAAGTCACATCAAAGTGTATCCCTGTTCAAGCAAACAATTTGAAAATCAAATAAAGAGTGATATTTTTGTTGTGCAGTCAACATAGCTACATGTGAGTGGATGATATCCAAATATGAATCGAGTATATCTTGGCAATGCTGGCTCAGTCCTATTACTCATTGAGCCACAAAGGTTATTTTTACCATGCAAATATGTTTGTAATGCTCCGAGAAGACTATCACTGTTAAAGAACTGAAACAAAAATCTCTCTGAATGCTTAACTTAAGCAGCAGCTCATATTCTTAGTTCTTTCGGTAAAGCCACGTTGAAGGGAAACAACAAAATAATAAAATATATATAAAACAATTAAAAAACGTGACTTTACCGAAAGAACTAAGAATATGAATTACTGCAGTCACGAAAGCTTTAAATCAAAACTTAAGCAGCAGCACTAGGATGGTGAACTCTCGGCACCAGGAGGTGACACACGGTAGCATTCGGGAGTAAATCATTGCATTGGAAAGTTTTTAAGGGACAGTATAGTAGGGCATTTGATGTGTTGTATTTGTGCGTGTTGAGCAATGTGCTGTGTAGCATGCTCTGTGTAGTACAGGGTGTGGTGAGTGTTGTAAGCGCTGTGCACTGGTACGTGTTCGTATGCGTTGTGGTGTGCACAATGGGTGCCATGTACAAAAATTGTCTCTGCGTTGCCGAGCATTTAGATACCCCTTGTCTCCCTACTGCAGCTCTCCGCTCGTGACCCCAGGAGCAGCGCACGTGGTGTTTAACGTGGTGGAGTTTGCGGCGGGTCCTGGCCGACCGCAAGCGCAGCGCGGGGTGTGCACGGGCTGGCTGGCGGAAGTGGTCGTCGGTCCTGAGGCCAAGGGGAACTCCCGGCCTTCCAACCTCTCCGGAGCACCCCTCGCTGACCCAAAGCTGCTGTCTCCTAAAGCCGCAAAGGTCTGTTCACTAAGCATCCAGGAATGAATGTCTATGGTTCAGAGGTTCCTGCAGTTTGGCAGCATATCTCTTTTAAGATCAAACAACCTCGCTTCATAAAGTGACAGCACAATGACACGGATAATAACTTGATCAAAAACTATTCTGGAGTTTCAAGGGTTTTGCAGGTGGGTCCTGTATTTTTACGTATGTTCCATCTTTTTTTTTCAAACCGGATTTCTTTGCTGAAGAAAGCCCACACGAGGAGATGACACTCAGATTCCACGGCACGGATGGCTCAACAAACTAAACGCTCTGCTGCCTCCTACAGGCGCCTCATTGCTGTGCAAGCGGGGTGTCTCTTTCGCGTCATGTTTCCACATCTTTGCACATTGCCTACAAGTCGCTTAGTTACAGGCTTTCGCCACCACCCACAGCAGGGTGGGGAGCAGTGGCACGGTGGTTCAGAAACTGCACCGTTAGCCAATTGAGTTGGGTTGCATTCCCAGCTTTGGCCAACACCGAAGGCAAGTGATGCGTGAATGAGTCCAAGACTCATCATTCACCAAGCCTCGCTGACAAGCGTTAAACTATGGCCAACCCAGCCCCCCCCCCCCCCCCCAATGATACCGAACGAGTGTGTGGAAACCAAGATCCAACAGTGGGCTGACGAATTGCTCTAAATACTTAAAGGGAGTGCCGTGTATCCTTATTAAAAATGATTAAGAACATGTTCATCGTGATGCGGTTTGAAAAATGAAAAATTTGATGAGCTTTCCAGGCACTGCGTCGCATTAGCCTTGTGTGATGCGTGATTGATGCTCTTGTTAATCGGTAAAAAAATCACTCGTGGCAGCCATGTGCTCATTTCTTAGCTGTTTTTTTTGTGTGATCATTCAATATTTATGGTTTGTCACAACATATTAAATCATAAATATTTTACATTGTAAAAATACTGCTGTAATGGCATTGTAATGTTTTTAATATCCAGCGTTTATTTTTGGTCAAGGCTTATTAAACCATAAATAGTTTATGTTACAAGTGTGAAATGTTTCTGAAATTCATTTTAACATTGTATTCCACTTTACCTGGTATAGGTACTGGTAATACATAAGTTTCATGAATATGGCATACAAATACATTGATACACTGCCAATCTTGTAGAATATACTCGCAACAATGATCAGCATTTCAAAAAATGATTTATCACGAAATAATCGTATTTGTATAACGTTTAAAAGTGGAAGGTGCATTGTAAAATAAAATGGTAATCACAATGATAGCAAAATTAATAATGATGGTAATTGTGCTGATTGTATGGGTATTGATATCAACAATATTAATGATCATGACACTGCAGGCATTCTTAATAGTGGTGATGATGAATGTGGTGATTGTTATAATTATGGTCACTGGTGGTAAGGTAATGATACCGGTAAGTGTATATGGAAATGTATGAATATGTTAATGGTGATGATAATATAAATCTTCATAATGGTGGTAATGTTAAAGGTGCTACAATTGACGTCGTTAATTATCCATATTGCATTAATGCTGTCGATAGTGGAAATGCTAATGATGTTGTTTGTGTTGCTCTTCATGCTGGTAATGGTGTTGGTTGAGACGAAGTCATGTCTGGCTGTTGGCAGATCCCTGTATACGCCCGCAAGAGTACAGGTTTCCATCTGCCGGAGGATGCGTCTGTCCCTATCATCATGATCGGCCCCGGCACTGGTGTCGCCCCCTTCGTGGGATTCCTGCAGCACCGGTGAGCCTGCCCGTCGCCACGCCTTCCTCCCAGTGTGCCTTTGACCAATTGTCGGAGCATTCTGTCCACATTCCCTTAATGACCGCAGTGTCGATGGATACGAAGTGTATTTTACGAACTACCCCTGAGGGATAATGCACTGAATTGAGCTCTCAACCATTCTATTGTGAGTCAAAGACTCTCGCCACATGTAATACGGGACTGTTTGGGTCAATAGCAAATGTCATGGGTTTCATTGTAACTATTCGCACATTCATTATTTTGATCAATTTTTCAATTGGAGGTTACAATACAATTTGAAATTTTTCTATTTTTACCCTAATGGTGTTTGTAAAGTTGGTAGTGGCTTATATGTGTAGTTAAGTACCCTAATGGTGTTTGTAAAGTTGGTAGTGGCTTATATGTGTAGTTAAGTAATTTGTTTTGGCATGCTTTGGAAAAAAAAATCACTTATTAAACGCACAAATAGACTCCTGTGTTATGAGCCTCGAAGTCCGTTTAAGTCGGATTGGTGCGAGTTGTTTAGCAATGAGTCGGACTACCGATCCAGTGCGGCGCGTTTGCTGGTTGTGGACGGAGCGTTTTGTGCCCCACGATATGACTCAGCAGGAGCATGACTGTGTGTGCCCCAGAGAGCACAAGGCCGGTGGGGGCACCGCGGCGCTCGGGGAGTCGTGGCTCTTCTTTGGCTGCCGCCACCGAGACCGCGACTTCCTCTACAGGTGAGCGCCTGCTCGAGCGGGGTGGGGGGGGGGGCGGCCCTTACCTGTGAAGCAGAGGTGGCCGAGCCCTGCATAGCGAGGGCCACTGGAACTCACTTGTGCCATCCTTGTATACCAAACACCAAAGGTGACGGTGTAGTAATACCCTGCTGGTATGTGTATTGGGGGGGGGGGGGGGTGAGGCAGAAGTGACGAAGCGCTGTGAAGTTGCAATGATCATGAGAACGGTGAGGAATCAGCCCAGAACTACACGGGAGGATCTTGTCAATGATCTCAAGGCAGCTGGGACCATAGTCACCAAGAAAACAATTGGTAACACACTACGCCATGAAGGACTGAAATCCTGCAGTGCCCGCAAGGTCCCCCTGCTCAAGAAAGCACATATACATGCCCGTCTGAAGTTTGCCAATGAACATCTGAATGATTCAGAGGACAACTGGGTGAAAGTGTTGTGGTCAGATGAGACCAAAATGGAGCTCTTTGGCGTCAACTCAACTCGCCGTGTTTGGAGGAGGAATGCTGCCTATGACCCCAAGAACACCATCCCCACCGTCAAACATGGAGGTGTAAACATTTTTCTTTGGGGGTGTTTTTCTGCTAAGGGGATAGGACAACTTCACCGCATCAAAGGGACGATGGACGGGGCCATGTACCGTCATATCTTGGGTGAGAACCTCCTTGCCTCAGCCAGGGCATTGAAAATGGGTCGTGGATGGGTATTCCAGCATGACAATGACCCAAAACACACGGCCAAGGCAACAAAGGAGTTGCTCAAGAAGAAGCACATTAAGGTCCTGGAGTGTCCTAGCCAGTCTCCAGACCTTAATCCCATAGAAAATCTGTGGAGGGAGCTGAAGGTTCGAGTTGCCAAACGTCAGCCTCGAAACCTTAATGACTTGGAGAAGATCTGCAAAGAGGAGTGGGACAAAATCCCTCCTGAGATGTGTGCAAACCTGGTGGCCAACTACAAGAAACGTCTGACCTCTGTGATTGCCAACAAGGGTTTTGCCACCAAGTACTTAGTCATTTTTTGCAGAGGGGTCAAATACTTATTTCCCTCATTAAAATGCAAATCAATTTATAACATTTTTGACGTGTTTTTCTGGACTTTCTTGTTGTTATTCTGTCTCTCACTGTTCAAATAAACCTACCATTAAAATTATAGACTGATCATTTCTTTGTCAGTGGGCAAACGTACAAAATCAGCAGGGGATCAAATACTTTTTTCCCTCGCTGTTTTCTTTCGCAAATTCTCACTACATTTTGTGATATAAACGTTCATAGTGATTAATCCTTAGTGAAGTGTTAACTTTCCTGAAGCACATTTGCATATCATGCTGATAATGAGTAATAAACGAACCCAAAAAGTGTGGTTAGTGAATGATGTGCATACTTATGGCACTGGACGTTTTAATAGTTTAAATGTGCTAAGTTTAATCACATATAGGACTGTGTATTTGGTCCTTAGAAATAAAAAGGCTGCAAAGCAATAGCAATTACTAAAAAAAAACAAGAGTTTAGTTTTAGTTCCTATAATTGTAAAGATAAGTTGGCGTTTTTCAATATTGAAATGAGCATTGGGTGCTTCTCATCTTCCACAAAGTGCTACTCACGTTTTCAACTCCAGAAGGCTAATGAGCTTGGTTGATCCCTGATTGGAAGTTAAATTAAAATACGTTGATGTTGCATAAACAAGCTTTCTAATCACAATTAATAGTTACATGCCGCAAAACATTCCATCTGGTTATTAACAACAACAACAACAACCTCGTTCCGTCTTGCTCTAGAGAGCAGCTGGAGGGCTTTGTGGCACGCGGCACGCTCACCCACCTGCGGGTGGCCTTCTCTCGTGACGAGCCTGCGGGGTCAGAGGTCGCGAGCCCGGGTGGGGTAGCACACCCCCGGTACGTGCAGCACAGCCTGGGCCAGCACCGCGCCGACGTCATGCGTCTGCTGCTGCAGGAGGGCGCGCGCCTCTACGTGTGCGGGTGAGCATTTGCGGGCAGCGGAGAAAAGCGTTTTTCAGCCGCGCGTAGCCCACGCGCGGCTGGGTTTGTGTCGGTGGTTCGTCAGGGAGGTTACGTGACGGTTTGATATGCATGCTGTGTTATTGGTCCAGCATGCTTCCGCTGCTGACGGACCAGCATTGTTCAGTTTGGTGAAGTACGTTCAAATACCTCCTACGATCCATACGTGATGGGGGAGCCCCTTGGCCAACATTGGATTTCCAGACTGTGATACCAGGCTGTCCAGAGATTTTGAAGTCCATGGGAGAGCTTTCGTGTGGGGTAATTAGAGTTTTATGTAAATCCCCAAAGCATGTTATAGTGACATCCCTGGGCTATGACTGCTTTGTGCGTTTTATCTTCTCGCATTCTTACTAAAACTGTCGGGACAGATGGGGGGAAGTGTCTTCTGGGAGCATTACGCTTTTCTTGACTCGTTTACAGTACAGTTGCGCCATTAAAACATCCAGGCAGCCTCAACACCAACCCACTACCATGGTGCTTATTTAAAGTCCTTGAATCTGCAAAGTGAATTCCCCCTTTGTTCGTGTAGTTAGGGGAGCCAGGTCCATTGTCGGAATTGTATGCCAATTCTCGACAGTTTGAACAAAATGGAGCAAGTTGATCAAATTTGCAGTATCCTAAAGCTACCCTTTCTCCCCCATTTAATCAGTTATTACATTTTAGTATTTTACCTATTATCACACCTTTAGCAAGCTCTTTTTCAAGGGTGATTCATGGGCGCGAATAGTACGGGAATGCCACAGAAGAATATTTCAATTATTTATCAGAGCAGCAATTTGAAAGGCAAGTGAGTATTCTCTTTTTAAAATAGCCACATTTCAGCTGCCACATTGCCGTGAATTGTTGTTTTTCATATAGAAGTAAATTCACACCTAACAATGTTTTTGGCGGTTGCAACTTTAACATGCTACTTTTGTTGACAGGGATGCTAAGAACATGGCCAGGGATGTGCAGGAGACTCTGGTGGACATGGTTGTGGAGGAGATGGGTGTTGCCAAGCTGGAGGCCATGAGGGTGATTGGCGGCCTCAAAGAGCAGGGACGCTACTTGCAGGATGTGTGGACCTGATGGAACCGAAGATAGGAGGGTTTGTTTTTTACGGGCGAGAGGGGATTGGACGTTCAGCAGTTCTCCTTGAACGACTCGGACAAACTGAACCCTGTAAAATGCCTGCACAGATCGTCGTGATTCAGAAGAGGCCAGTCAAAGCTAAAGCCCAGTATTTAATAATAATGATAATGTGTCTCAATGAGGTCCACCTGAGAGGAACATTGGCCTGAATTTAAGTCTTGCCGAGGCACTACTTTTGCTTATTTAAAAAATTTTCCCGTTATTTAGGAAAACCTCACGGATTATCATGACATTTCAGGAGCATTCTGCATTGGGTTGTTTTGAATTTTTTACTGCTGGGTGTTTTGCATTTGGCAGGACACCAAAGCAGTGCAAAGCAGTGAGAGCAAGACAATTCAAGCATGCAAGATGATTACATTCAAAACTCCACATAGGTGGATGTGTGATGCCACTTGCTGTACTGCCATCTCTTGGCTAACTCGCAGCCCAGCAAGCTTGGCAATGTCACAAATCTGTGAATCACCAATGCTTGCATCCATAAGCGCTGGATTATAGCGTGCGCCACTGCACCATATACATCCCGTATACTGTACACGCCTTAATTGTTGACAATAACAACAATGCCAGAATTAATCGTGAACCATCTTTATATCCATCGCTACTATGTGCCAGTAGTAGAGATGGGTCTGAATACCGCATTCATATGCTGGGTTCTTTCGGTAAAGTCACGTAGAATGGAAAGAACCCAGAAGATGAATCCCTGCAGTCACGAAAGCTTTAAATCGAATGCATTCATAGTTTATAGTTGCTGGCAGGAAACCCGCCCTGAGGTCATTCAGTGAAACGTCTTTTAGCTGCCTATTCACCATGCGTGTTTAATAGTTTGTTAAGAATAGCCACTCTTGGCATGCGATTTTTCTATAAAAAGGAAGTGTTAATTATGGTATGAGAGTGATTTTCAGTCGGTGCTTTATACACTGCTAAATACACTACCTTAGGTTACGAACATTGGTGTGGATGACATAAATTAATCTGTGGTCCATATTTGTTTTCGCGTTAGACCACGGGGTAGCTTTATGCCAAAATTCTTGTCAGTAACCCCTCCACCACTTGACAAGACTGTCAGGTTTACAAAGATAATTACGTTTTAAGGCTACATTTAAATGTACTCGCTACATATACATTAACAGAAAACCCACATTACCGAGCTCGTTAAATTTCAAAATCTCAACATTTCTCAGCAACATGGCCCTAAAAGAGAAACATGTACTGTATAGAGGGTGGCCCAAAAAGGTTTTTTTAAAAAAATATTGAACTTAACACTAGCATGAAACCATTTGAATTGTGTATTCTTTAAGTAAATATTTTATCTATAAATATCAAATTTTCTTCTGAAAAATTGACAGATACTTGATGAATGAGTTCAATTAGTTTTTATGTATGCAGAAGAATGGCAGCTCTAATCTTTTATAAAGCCGTACATTTTTTTCAAAAAGAGAATTCATGCATGCATGAATGTTAATCGAAGTGGGTTTGAACATTTGTTAACTTAAATTAAATAACCGTAGAAAATTTGTTTACATATATAATAACCCTTGGTGTCCTGATTTTTGGGCTACCCTGTATATAATAGGCCCTTCTGGTTATTGCCCGATTAGCATGGTTTGGCTATGTATGGTGCAAAATAAATTCAACAGAATATATCTTGTTGGATTTCGATGAATTAAAATGTTTTTTGTGTGTGCTTCTCCAGCACTGCCAACACGGCTTCACTAAAACACAAAAGTAATCTTTGAGATTGGCTATGTGACAAAAAAACACTGTCGAAAACACTTCACTTATTGATTTTGGATGAGGAATTATATCAGTTTTACTGAACTTATTGTGCATTTACTGTTAAATTTGTGATCCTGCACATTAAATAAAGTTTTGTATGTTACTTAGAAATACAGTGGCATTTATAAATTTATATACTCAAGCTTAAACTACTGTAATCAGCATTTATATTTACTATTGAAAGTGGGGTGTGCACACAATAGAAAATACCTCAAAGCCAATTTATATACGAGTGTTTTATGCAGTCTTGTTGATCATGGGAAAGCTGGTAATGTTACACGTGGATAATTTACTGGTAATGTTGCACATGGAGCGTTTGCTGGTAATGTTGCACGTGGATAATTTACTGGTATTAGTTGCACGTGGAGAGTGCACTGGTAATGTTGCACGTGGAGAGTTTACTGGTAATGCTGCACGTGGAGAGTTACTGGTAATGTTGCACGTGGAGAGTTTACTGGTAATATTGCACGTGGAGAGTTTACTGGTAATGTTACACGTGGATAGTTTACTGGTAATGTTACACGTGGATAGTTTACTGGTAATGTTGCGCGTGGATAGTTTACTGGTAATGTTGCGCGTGGATAGTTTACTGGTAATGTTGCACGTGGATAGTTTACTGGTAATGTTACACGTGGATAGTTTACTGGTAATGTTGCACGTGGATAGTTTACTGGTAATGTTATACGCGGATAATTTACTGGTAACGTTACACGTGGAGAGTTTACTGGACAGCGCTGAATAATGTAAAATCAAAGGAACGACTGTTTGCCCTAATGATGACCTTGTATTGTTTATTTTTAAATAAGAAAGCTGAATATATTTTTTTAGGCTTTGCTCCGAATGAAAATGTTTGCCGGCATGTTTGTGCAATAATGTTTTTAAAATGACAGTAATGTTTCAATCACTTTGTAATGGTATAATGTATGGTACTGTATATGACAAGATATACAAATAAACACGATATAATACAACTAAATATTATATTTTCAATATTTTAACATTTGTTTAATGATTATCAAGCCAGACCTTTGTGTATCTTTCCACTTTTATTCAAATTACATTCCCAGCTGCGCTTCATGTCATATGGAACGCTCATAGCCAGCAGTGTAAAAATCTCGTTTTTGACTGACCCCCATCAGGTGAGCAGTGCACCCCTTGTTTGCCCCTGCAAACAAAGGGGTGCATGGCAACTCTGATGATTATCTTTTAGACATCATACCTTAATACAAGTTACAAAAAAAATGCAAATCGTTGAGACCATCACACACACACACAGGGACTTGTACATGGTTTAATTACAGGTGACCGAGTCCCAGATTTACACCTGGATTTTCGGTGTTGCAGCCCGGTTATCTGACACGAGTTCCCTGAGGTTATAATGCAGAGGGTCAAAGGCAATGACGGGAGACTGTTGGATAGTCTCCATGAATGCAGTCCACGCCACCGAGCCAATTTGTTTGAGGGGGTCAACGTCTCAATTTCCACAGCCGCCCAAAAAACTTGCGTATTTAATTGGTCCAACGCAAGATTAGATTAACCTGCGCGGCATACTCAAATGGCAATATATCGTGCTGCTGTCGGAGCTTACATTGCAATAAAACAACAACACCCTAAAATATCTCCTTGCACAAGCGAGACGTTCTGTGGCACTCGTCTGCATTGGTGGTGGCTCTGAGCCAGAGGTAGAATTGTTCATATTCCTTCGGTAGAATCCAAGCTCTAAAGTAATTGCTGTTGACTTCACAGAAACAAATCTAGTTTATAACAACAGCAGATTCCGAATCTCAATGTGCCTCTTGCAGGATAAATGATCGGTTCAATGTTATGCCACGTGCGGCTTTTGATATCCATCCTTAAATCGCCCACTAGATGGCCGTGATGGGTCAGCTGGGAGCATCAAGCTTGCACTGAAACTGAGGAGCATGTTATATGGTCCAATTGACTCGAATATACCGTACGTCCATAGGTTTGAATACTGATGCCCTCTACCTTTTAAGAACTCCACAGTGAGTTTCTTTTGTATGACATTTTAGAAGCAACGTTTGACATGATAACTGTTGCGTTTGGTAATCCATTCGATGGCATCAGAAGTTGCTTGACGTGTAGAGCTTGTACCTTCTGTGTAAGCGCATAACGGACAGCGAGTCCCAAATTTGTTTCAAGATGGGGACATGTACCAGGATTTTTGGAAAATGCCATTAATCGGGGTGTAACACTCAAAGCTCTGCACATGTGAAAACCCATAACTGTGCTGCCATCACAGCCCCCAAGCCTTAAACACCTCGTAATCCAACACAGTCTACCACGTCCTAACCAGGCTCAACGCTGCTTAGCCTCAGAAATCTATCGGGATCCATGCATTCGGGATAGAAGTTCATCTTTGCGGACCGACACAATTCCGTGGCACGGCAGCCAGGGGTTCAGTCGACAAGTCAAGACCGGTGTCCTTAAAAGCTCGGGATAGCCATTTCCTTGAGCCAACTCGTAAATTTAATGAGAACACAAAGTCGTATTCTCAATGCTGTCTCCCACACCCAAGAAATAATTTGTAACGTCACTGGCAAGCTTTGGGATGTGGGTGTGGTGTAAAATGGAGGAAATCAGTTGGATCGAGATAGTATTGAGGGATTTCGATTTAAAGCTTTCGTGACTGCAATGATTCATCTTCTTTGGTTCTTTCGGTAAAGTCACGTAGAATGAGAATAAAATAATAAATTGATAAAATAAAATAACACAATAATATTCTCACGACGTTTCGGCCACAACACAAGCGGCCTTCATCAGGTGAAGGGGGCGAGACTGTCGCTTGTGTTGTGGCCGAAACGTCGTGAGAATATTATTGTGTTATTTTATTTTATCAATTTATTATTTTATTCTCATTCTACGTGACTTTACCGAAAGAACCAAAGAAGAGTATTGAGGAAGTTCTAAAGCAGGTACAGGAGGAGAGACGTCAAACTGGAACAATCCAGAAGAGGGAAGAGATGTGGATTTGGCACATTTTCAAACATGTGAAAGCTTAATGAAGGAATAAAACAACAAAAATCACGACGTTTCGGCCACAACACAAGCGGCCTTCATCAGGTGAAGGGACCAGACTGTCTCGAGGACAGCGCTGGAGTGAAACACAGCCACGCTCAGACCGCGACCTTTAAGCTGTGTGCGAGGAAACAAGGTGCCTTGACAAAGGAATTAGCATAAAAATTAGCATTTGATTGGCCGATTTAGCATGATGAACGGTGTAGAGGTGGTGTACATGCGGGTGAACATGCCGGTTGGCGAGGGGGGGGGAGGGGGAGTTTACCTATTGATTGTGTGAAAAGGGAATTTTTAAGAGCTGCGAAAGTTTGGGGTACCACTACTTGAAAAATATAATGTACCATTGAAAATTAGTTTAATGTTTGGTTCGATTTAGAACATCTTTCCAATGGTTGCTTAATTTGAAACCATCTTCTCAGTTGAAATTGTGTCTGTGTTTGTAGATCTGAATTGCCTCGCGAACAAATCTCTGATAAAAACCCGTGGGTTTGCAAAGAACCTTGGTATCGGAGAAAATTATATCGTGATCACCCACAGCGTTGTAACAGTGATCAGCTACGGCAGAAGAATTCGTTCTGCCGTGTTTCAAATCTGATTTGTGCTCGCGAATTCGGTCAGAGACATGTCGCTTTGTCTCCCCGATATAGCAATCACCGCAGGTACAACTCAATTTGTCAACCCCGGGGTACTGTAAGTCAGGAATGACATCTTTCACGGATGGGATCAGATCACGAATTTTGTGTACTGTATTGAACCGGACCTGGATCTTGTGTTTGTTTAGAATTTTGGAAATCTTTTTAGTAACGCCTGCAACCGAGAAGATGGTTTCAAATTAAGCAACCATTGGAAAGATGTTCTAAATCGAACAAAACATTAAACTAATTTTCAATGGTACAGTATATTTTTCAAGTAGTGGTACCCCAAACTTTCGCAGCTCTTAAAAATTCCCTTTTCACACAATCAATAGGTAAACTCCCCTTCCCCTCCCTCGCCAACCGGCATGTTCACCCGCATGTACACCACCTCTACACAGTTCATCATGCTAAATCGGCCAATCAAATGCTAATTTTTATGCTAATTCCTTTGTCAAGGCACCTTGTTTCCTCGCACACAGCTTAAAGGTCGCGGTCTAAGCGTGGCTGTGTTCACTCCAGCGCTGTCCTCGAGACAGTCTGGTCCCTTCACCTGATGAAGGCCGCTTGTGTTGTGGCCGAAACGTCGTTGTTGTTTTATTTTTTTACCTACGTGACTTTACCGAATAGAACCAAAGAGTATGGATCCTTGCAGTCACGAAAGCTTTAAATCTAGAATTAATGAAGGAAGTTTTGGAAGGGAAGGAAAGGTGTTGGGGAAAAAGCAAGAGGCAGAGAAAGAAAAACTGCACTTGATGACTTTAAGGACAAGGGGTCTGTACAGTTACATAAAGGAGCAAACTCAAGATTGGACCGCATGAGGGGAGGTTGAGCCAAAGAACTGCCGTTTAGCAGAGGGAAAACTAAAGGGAAAAAAAAAACGCCATAGGATCCTCCTAAAGTTGAGTTTTGATATTCAGGTTGTAGTTTCTAGCGTATTGAATCCTGATGGTTTTAATAATGCAGTGTGTTGGTTGTGCAAAAGAAGATATTTCATTTGATTTTGGTTTGTTGAAACATATAATCAGAAGTTCCCCTATTCTGCATTGAGGTGCATCCAGAAAATGAAATGCTGTTGCAAAAGTTGTTTGACCCGAACTGAAAAGATGTAGCACTTGAAATGGCCATTCATGAATACAAAGAGGAGCCCCGATGCCTTGGCCCTAGCTCAGCTGGCACAAACCCGCGGGTAGAAATGTCTTCGTGAATAGCAACTTCCAGAGCGATAGTCATGCACTTGGATTTGAGTCATTAGTGTTTGAGAGTCCGCGTATTCCTCTCGAAATGTATGTAATACCAGAAATGTACTTACCTTTCTCAGAAATGTGATGTTTTGGTGTACTGCATTTAGATGACCCTGTTGTGTTTAAACTTTGAACAGCGACGAGCAGATCGATGTTAAATAATTTGACTAGCGGCAGGCTGACATTTAATCAAATCAATGCGCTATGAGTTTCCATGTTCTGTTGTATTGCTAGTGAAAGGGCATTGCTGTGCATGCAATCACAAAAGTCTGGTAACTCAAATTATGTTTATTTTCCTTTTATTCATAAAGTATATGAATTAGAGCCACAAAAAGTTCGCAAGTACACAAACGAACAATGAGGTGGTGTAATTTCGATTTAAAGCTTTCGTGACTGCAGGGATTCATCTTCTTGGTTCTTTCGGTATAGTCACGTTAAATGGAAATAAAATAATAAAAAAGAAAATTATTTTATTGTTTTATTTTTATTATTTTATTTCCATTCGACGTGACTTTACCGAAAGAACCAAGAAGAAGAACAATGAGGTGGTGCTTGTGTCCATCTGTGGTCCTGAGTCAGCGGTGGAAATTTCACTTTTATGATGGAGACCAGTGCAGCCATCGGGTAGCCACCGATGATTTGATGAATATTTTCGCATTGCAGTTCGCTGAATGGTCGGGCCTCCAGTGGATGCAGGGGTGACGTCAACCCACTTCAACGTGAGTCAAACAACATTCACTTACTCGATGCATGTATCGTGAGTTGAAGAAACAATATTAATGAATCGAAGCATCACTCCACCCATAGCAAGTACTATTGACCTTCTACAAAGCGTTACTCATTTTGTTGACCTCAAAGGGATGGCGTGGCTGATTTGACCCACGACCTGAATTTGAATTCATGATCTTCAAATTGTGATTCCGGTGCTTCTAACCATTGCACCACCGGGCCTGACACTGCAATCACAGTATCTACCACGTTACAGCAAAAAAACATCCCATGTGCTGTGCTAGTGATGCACATTTTGAAATCATCGTAATAGTGAGGGGTTTTCTC